TCGACCAGTGCGAGCATGGCGGCAAGGCAGGCAGGGCACCGACGAGGATCGTCGGCGTGCGGGTGAGCGGCCTGCATCGACGCCTGAGGGCGACGCCCGGCCAAGGGCGTTGCTCGCACGGACGCGGAGCGCACTCAGTGCTCCTGGGTAAAGCAGAGACGGGGGGGGAGTTTAAAACGGCGGCCAAGAAGGTCTACCCCCCCGGCCTTTGCAGGGCCCTTGCCGAGTCGGTTGTCCAGACGGTTGCGGATTTTGCGGCCCTGGAACCTGGGGCCGGGTCCCAGACCGAGCCGAATTGTCCTGAGGTGGAGGGTCTTCGGGATTTTTTCGTCGGGTCCATTCCTGAAGAGGGAGTTGCTTGGGCGCCGGATTTTCGGGCTGGGCCTCGGAGCTCTCGACCTGATCCCGAGAGGGAGCGCTTCAGGCGCCCTCTGGTCCTGGCGTTCGCGGGGTCCCAGTGTACCCCCCCTGGCCCCAGCCAACCGCCAGGCAGCCAGGCCCCCAGGTTGGACCCCCCCGAGGACCCCACCCAAGAGGACCTTTACGTAGGCTCCGTTGGGCTCGCTTCTCCCTTTGTTCCCCCTGCCCCGCCTCCCTCGCCTCTCCCGCCCCCTCCCCCCCTCCTCAGCGAGTCCCAACGCGAGCGAATTCGAGCGAACCGAGCCGAGGCGATGAGGCGACGCCATGTAAGACGTGCCCCATGGATCGCACAATCAGGCTTTGCGTTCCTCTTCTAGCTTTTGCTCCCCCCCTTTCCCAAGGGCTGGTTGAGCGCATAGCACGCCCGATGGGTGTGCTATGCCCGACGCACGCATCAGCGGCGCGTGTCGGCTTCCTTTCGGCGTGTCGATTTACGACCGAGGCCGCAGTGATCCCGCTGATCCTCCTCCTCCCTCCTCCCTCCTCCCTCCCTCCCTCCTCCCTCCTCCCTCCTCCCACCTCCTTCCTCCCTCCTCCCTCTCCTCCTCCTCTTCCTCCTCCTCCTCCTCCTCCTCCTCCTCCTCTTCCTGCTCCTGCTCCTGCTCCTGCTCCTACTCCTGCTCCTGCTCCTCCTCCTGCTCCTCCTCCTCCTCCTCCGCCGCCTCCCTCGTCCCAGGTATCCCGACAAGTAACACCAAACCTGTGATTCGACATACAATCCCAATGGCCGCCTCTGATACATAACACATGGAACGTCGGGCCCGCAGGGAGGGGGCTCCCGCTCGAGACCACCTCGTGATTTTCTTTCCGGCGAGCGCCCGAGACGTCTTCTAAGTGTGCCGAGGCTCCCGCTCGAGACTTCCTCAGGGCTCAGACTCCCAGTGCTGCGATGGCCGCCTCGGATTACCAACGTGAGGCGGGGACCCCGTAGGGAGGCGGCAATCGCTCGAGACCTCCTCGCAAATCACACACAAACAAGGCTCCTGCCCGGGATATCCTTCATTTTGCTCCGGAACGAGGCTCCCGCTCGAGACCTCCTCGGGAGTCAGGCTCCCAGGTGTCATTCAACATGTGTTTTTACATGGCTTCCCGATGGCCGCCTCGGAGTCCCAGCACGAGGTGGGGACCCCTTAGGGATCACTGACGAGTGCGCGCCCGAGACGTCCCTCCAGCTTGCTCAGGAACGAAGCTCCCGCTCGAGACTCTCGGGATTCAGGCTCCCAAGTGCTACCAAACATGTGCTTTTACACGGTATCCGCATGGCTGCCTCGGATTGAGGTGGGGACTCCGTAGGGAGGGGCTCCCGCTCGAGACTTCTTGCGATTCGCTCACAGGATGCTCCCGCCCGAGGCATCCCTTCTGTTTGCTCAGCAGCGAGGCTCCCGCCCGAGACTTCCTCAGGATTCAGGCTCCCAAGAGTCACCAAACTTGTTTTTTCTATATGATTTTCCGATGACCGCCTCGGATTGCGAACATGATCTCGCGCCCCATGGGCAGGGGGTTCACGCTCGAGCTTTACTCGCAATTCGCTCACCGACGAGGCTCCCGTTCGAGACTTCTTCACGATTCGGGCTCCCAGGTGTCACCAAACCTGTGTTTTTACATTCTTTTCAGATGGCCGTCTCGGATTGCCAACATGATCCGCGCGCTCCATAGGGATGGGGGCTCCCGCTCGAGACTTCCTCGCAATTCACTCGTCGACGAGGCTCCCGCTCGAGACTTCCTCGGGGGTCAGGCTCCCAGGTGACACCAAACATGTGTCTTTACACTGTTTTCTGGTGGCCGCCTCGGATTGGCAACATGATCTGCGCGGCCCGTAGGGATGTGGCTCCCGCTCGAAACTTCCTTGCACTTCTCTCGCCGACGAGGCTCCCGCTCGAGACTTCCTCAGGATTTACGCTCCCAGGTGTCACCAAACTTATGTTCTTACTGGTGGCCGCCGCGGATTACCAAACAGCTTTGCGCGCCCCATAATAATCTTCCCCCAATTCATTCACCGACCATGATGGGGATGTGGACAGGAATCCGTGAAACAATGCTGAGGTTGGGCGCGCGGCGCCTGCGTCCTTCCTCTGCTCGCCCTGCTCGATCAGGAGGTAAAAATCGCGCAACACGCGGTCGTTGTCCAGCAGCAGCTCGCAGGTGACTCCGGGGTCGCCTCCAGAGGACTCTGGGACGCCGAAGGACAGACAGTCTGTCCTTCTGCAAACGTCTAATGGAAATGCGACACTGCGTAGGACACAAAACGCTGCATACACATGCGCACTGAACAACTCCGACAAGACTGGTCTGGAGGAACGAAGCAGGGCAGAAACACAAAAGTCCGACGGTCCGCGCAGACCGCCGAAGCTTGTGCTCACGTATTCCCCTCTGTTGCGAGGACTACAGGGAAGCTGGAAACAGTGGAAGTTGGAAAATCAGTGCAAGTGGAAGTGGCCTGGGCTGGAAACACTGGCGGGGGGTGAGGCGAGCCCGAAAAATCAGGGATGTGGTCGCCAGGGCTGGAAATAACAGCAAGGGGGAACTGGCCAGGGCTGGAGAGAGTGGAAGGGCTGGCCCCAGTCACTTTTTCCAGCTTCCATGCAACTATACGACCCCCTTGAAGGATACGTCCAGAATTCGCCGGCCCAACGGGCCAGAGGCGTGCTAGATCTCCGCTAACTGGTTAACAATATTTCTAGTTCGCGCGCGCGGGGCGGCCCCTGGGGGTCCCCGCTTTCGGTCTGGGGTTCCCGGGCGGAAAGTACCCCCGGCAAGTCCCGGGAGGAGACCCCGGATCGGGCAATTTTTCGACACCGCTCACGAGGATCGTGGCCTCCGAGGGGGGAGCCGCACTCGACTACCCCCCCTCCCGCCCCAAGAGGCCCACAAGAGCCCCCCGAGAGGCCCTGGGGTCCCCAAGACGCCGCCACGGAGCCCCAAGAGACTCCCAAGAGGTCCCCAAGAGGCCCCCAGGAGGCCCTACAGAGGGCTCCAGGGCTGGCGGAATGAGCGAAGGAACATCACTTTTGCACACCCTCAGGCGTCCTTTAAAAATCATTTTCAGACTCTCTTAGGGCTTTCTGGCGTCTTTTTGGATCATTTTCCGGCTCTCTTGGGGCTTTCTGAGAGCCTTTAAGACCCCACTTTCTCCCACCCCCGCTACATCCCGATTTGCCCCCCACGCAACCTCCGCGTTCCAAAAAAAAGAAGTGGGGCGGCGGTGTCTGCCCCCTCAGGGGCGTTCAATGAACATCTAACACCCAAACGCCTCACAAACGCATCGTCTCCCGGGCGGCACGGCCAGAAGCGGCGCCCGCCGCCGCGCGCACGCGGCAAGAGCTCCCGCGGGGCGCGCGCGTCGCCCCCGCGGGCCCGACGCGCCTCCCCCGCCGGCGGCGCGGCGGAGCTGGCTGCACCGGCGAGGAGCCAGGCGGGGGAACCGTATAAAGCGCGAATGGGCCGCCGTGCGCGAGGGGGAAGCAGGGGAGGCAGGGCGCCCGCGGGCAGGGCTAGGATCGGGAGAAATCGCTCCAGAGCGTTCCGGAGCGCTCTCAGAGCGTTCCGGAACGCTCTGGAGCGGCCGCGGCGCCCAATACATCCTCCAAACCCGCCGATTCTCAGAGATTTCGAGTTATCCCGATCCGATTTTGTCCCGATCTTCGCGTCGTTTAAAGGCCGCTCAAGGGCGGGGGGGGGCCGACGCACGCGTGCCAGCGGCTGTGCCAGCGGATCTGGCAGCGCCGATGCTGCCTCGAGCCCCCCCCCCCGAGGAGCTGCGTCCGACGAGCGCGAAGAGAAGGACGAGGGGGTGCAAGGAGGACGAAGAACCCCCAAGGCCAATGACGGATGCTATTGACGTGATCACAGACCGGCCGCGGCTCGCAGGCGCCTCCCGTATCGCCCGAATCCCGAGGAGGAAGGGGGGAGGACGAGGCGGGGAGTCGAGCGTCGAAGGCTCATGATCCATCAGCATCCAGCGGGGCCCTCGTCCAACGGCTGGACAAGGACAGGTCGGAGGGTCGACCTTGGAGGGAGGCAGACGGTGAGAAAATATGAGGGAGGGAAGAGGGCAGAAAAACAGAAAGAAGAGGGAGGAGGGGGGATGGAGGAGGAGGAGGAGGAGGAGGAGGAGGAGGAGGATTAGGACCGGACCGCAGTGAGTTGCCATGAACCGAGGAGGGATGGAGAGGGTGAGCCTAGAGTCCCGCCTATGCTCCACATCTTCGCATCCTCTTCCTCCGCTGCCCCCTTCGAATCGAGTCGACTCGAAATGAATCGCAATCGAAAACGAATCGACTCGAAATAGGGTCTCGGCTTTCATGACCGACTTGGACCGGCTGGATCGCAAACGAATCGAATTGAGATCAGATCGCCACGCCTGGCCCCGGCTGGTCTCGACCGATGCCGGCGAACCGACTCGAATCGAATCGAGTCGGAATCGCGGCCCCCGCCAGCGGATCGAATAGCATCGAATCGGGTCGCAGGCGGCCCTGCATGCGTCGCATATTGCATTTCCCGCTCCCGCCGGCGCCGACGCGCCTGTCGCGCTGCGGGGCGACGGATGCACCTCCATGCCTGCGTCCCGGAGGCCGCCGGTCTCATAGAGCCACTCCTCGCGGCGGGGGCGAATACAGTCAGGCCCCAGCTCACGCCACAACTCCACGAGGAGCCAGAGTTGGACAGAGACAAAGACGCGCGTGTCCGCTAGCAGGCGGGCCCTTCAGGAGGAGGAAGAGGAGGAGGAGGAGGAGGAGGAGGAATCACTCCCCCCGACTGGCCCACGATGTTCGAGCCAGAGTGGAGGCATGGATGAGCACCTGAGCTCCTGGCGGCCAAGCTTGCAACCATGCGCCATCCAATTGGCTTGAAGAGTTGGGGGCAGCCGCGGGGGCGCGGGTGGACACCTTCGATCGCTGAGAAGAGGATTGTCCCGCCTCCTCCAGTGTTATGTCCTCTCCCTCCCTCTATCTCTCTCTCCCTCTCTCTCGGTCTCCCACTCTCCCCCTCTCTGTGTCTGTCTCTGCCTCTGCCTCTGTCTCTGTCCCTGCCACTATATCTTTCTCTCTTTTTCTAGATGTCTCTTTCTCCTCTCTCTCTCTTGATGTCGTTTTTGATGTTGCTTTCTCTATATATACACTATCTATATCAATCGTATATCCCTCTCTAGATGTCTCGTTGATTTCGTCATGTGTGTATGTATCTCTATATAGATATAACGAACTATCTGAATACATCTATATAAATAGGTAGGTGTTCCCTTTCTCGCTGCTGCCTTGAAATCTCTAAATCCCGCCCAGAAATCCGATTGCAACGATCGAGCGCCACCCGTAACTAACACTGAACGGTAAGAGCAAATGGCCCGCGTGCCGTGGTTCTTGCACGAAGGCAGAAGGCTCAACGATGGGCACTCTGGCTGCAACGAAGCGGGGCTGGGGTCGCAACGAAAGGGTGCGCGGGTGATGGGGAAGAGGGACGGAGCTGCCTCCGCAGAGGGAAAGGACATTGCTGCGGAGGACCGGGGCGGCGGTGCCGAAGCGCGCCGTGCGACAGAGGGTCGGGGCACGGGAGGTGCGCGTGCTGGTGGCCGAGGAGGAGCAGAGCTGGCGGCGGGGGCGGCGTGGGGCGGGCTGCGGTGGATGGGGCTGCGGTGGCGCGGGGCCAGCGCAGAAACAAAATGGGCGGAGCTCGACAAGCACCAAATGCAACATAATGAGGGTCGGGGCGGAAGGGGGCGGTCTGGCTGGTGGTGCCGAAGAGGGCGCGCTGCCGGCGGGGCTGGCTGCAAGGAGCGGGGGGACCATCTGCTTGCAGCAAGAAGACGAACGGGGCTGTGCACGGGAACCGCCAAGATGGTACTGTGCCGAAGTAAAGAGGGCGGAGCTGTAGGCACAGAGCGCAAGAGAACATGAAGATCTCTACCACATCCCAAATGTGGACGTGCTGCTCCAATACTGCATGGTACCCCTGGCCCCAAATCTACTAGACCTTCTCAAACTGCAAACGCCAACAAGCACCGCCCACCATCATCCTCGCCCACCTAATTTCACTCCATTATCCCCATTCGCGCGCGCGGGGGGAGAGCCCGAACCTCATTGCTCCCTCCTGCTCCTCCTCCTGCTCCTGCTCCTGCTCCTGCTCCTCCTCCCTCCTCCCCCTCCCTCTTCCACCCATTCTCCCCCACCTCCTCCTCCTCCTCCTCCTCCTCCTCCTCCTCCTCCTCCTCCTCATCCCTCCCTTCTAACTCCTCCCTCATACTCCCTGTTTTCTCCTCCTCCTTCTCTTCCTCCCTCCTCCGTCCTCGCTCCTCCCTCCTCCTTCCCCCTCCCTCTTGATTCCATTTCTTTCTGGATAGCTCTTCCCTGTCGCAACCCACACGTGTCGGTAGGGCGGGCTGAGCGTTTGGCCTGAGAATTCCTCGCCATCTATGACACGGACATCTGAAAACTTGCAACAAGTCCATGGACAGAGGGTGGCTCGTTTTCAACTCGTCGCTCTCGCTTAAATTTGTGGATGTCAAAACAATGAACACCCTTACAATCCTATCATTGAATTCAACATGTGTTTAAAATGTCGGAAAGTCCTAAGCATGGTTTACACATCTGGTTAACATGTTCAAAACATGGTTCAGACATGTTTTAGGCATCTGGAAGTTGTTTGGCAACATGTTTCCTCTCCATTGACCGTCCTCCACAAACTTAAAGCAATGGCACCGTGTCAAAGAGATGGGTGGCGGGGAATTTTATAATGTGGTGCTCGCCTCAGCGCCTCGCGCATGGACGGAGGACGGCTCCATTTCGAGAATGCGGACCTCGCCTTCTCGCCGCCAGCAGTCGTCTCAAACATCTGCAACCGATTCACGGGCTTGCGCAATCAGAGTCCCAAAGTATTGTCTGGCACGATCTGGGCTTGTCTGGACGAAACGGTCACATTGATTTGCGGCGTTGAAATCAAAATCATGGTGATGGTCCGATTCCGGATTGGTAGGATGCAAAAACCACACAGATTCCCACTGTTCATGTCGCACGAACTGCGTTTTGGTATGATTGGGGATTCTTAGACGGCTGATTTGCAACGGGGGACATTCCCGCAATAAACATATGTTCTTGTAGTGGCTTGTGAAATGGGGGAGTTTAGAGGGGGGTGTATTGCAATATCGCTGATGGATCTTGGGTTCACACAAGCCCTCCTCGTCCACATGCCCTCACTCCCTCCCTCTCGCCCCGCCGTCATCCAACCTGCACCCCTTTCGCACGTCGCCAACATCGGAATTTGAATGCTACTCGCGTCTCTCCCATGGCAATGTGCAGCCGTTATTTCTCTTCTGCCCCCTTTTGCTTTTCGCGCGCACGGTTTCCCATCTGAAGTTCCTGCGCCGCGGTTATGGAGAGCGTGCTCCCGCAACAGCGTTGGCCACGTCTCGCGGATGGCACTCTCGTTCCGGCGCGGCCGCATCTTGGATCCGCGCGATTCACAGGGCAGCAGCAGAAGGACGAGGACTGAGGCCCCACGCTCGAGAGGGACATGGGAGCGGGAACGAGGGGCACTGGAAAGGACAGACGACGGGGGGAGCAGTCAACGCGACGGCAGCAACGCGACGGTGGGAGGCTGAGTGGGGCGACAATGAAAAAGGCAGGATGAGGAAGGAGGCAAGCAAGCAAGCAAGAGACTGCGTGCACAAAAACGGCACATTAGTACGGGGAAAAAATACTCGCCGTTATGGCAATACTCCTTCACAACGGCTTCCCACTCACTCTGTGGCCTGTGGCTCAGCACTGTGTTGACCCTCGATCAATTCCCAACGGCACGCTGGACAAGCAGCGCGGCCCGCGACATGCCGCTCCGGCTTTCGAAAGGATCAGCTAATTATCCACACATAGCGCAAGGAGCGAACGAAGCCGAGCTCGCCCGCAAGATGTCCCGCCTCCCTCTTGCACGCTGCAGCGCGGGAGCTACACGTCCGCAGGCGCGCCGCCGAATCTTCGGGCCGCCCGCGGTCAAAAATCAAGGCGAGTCTGAATCTGCGTAGGACGCCGTTCCGCTGGAACATCCGGCATCGCCCGAAACGTGGCGACATTCTCTCAAGTCCCAAGAAGCGAAGCCTAATCTGAAGACGCGCAGGTCGTCATCCCGCTGGGCCCCACATCGTCCCGCTGGGACACCCCAGCACCCTTCGAAAGCGGCGATTGTTTCGCAGGTCCCAGCCCCCCCGGGCTGGCGATAACTAATCTGAATCCGCATAAGCCGTGATTCCGCTGGACCCGCCGCAGCCCTCACAAGACGCTACACTTTCGTAGTTCCCAACACTCCAATGATGGCGAGGTCAAACATGAATCCGCGTAGGGACGGCCGAACAAGGACCCAAGATTGCCCCGAGATCGCCCAAGAGGCCTCCAAGATGGCCCCAGAACTGCTCAAAAGGCTCCAAAGACGGCCCACAAAGGGCCTCAAGACGGCCCAAAAGGCCTGTCAAACGCCCAAGATGGGCTCCAAGACGACCCTGAAACGCTCCAAACGGCCCAGAGAGGCTCCCAAGACGGCTTCAGACGGGCTAGGAACGCCGTAAGATGGCCAAAGGGGCCCCCAAGAAGCCCCCAAAGGACCCCAAGAGGCCCCCTAAGGGGCTCAAGGAGGCCCCCAAGAGGCCTCTTTGGGGCCCCCGGGTAGCTCCCAGGAGGCCCCAAGCATGACACAGGAATCTCCCAAGAGGTCCTCACCCTCCTCATACTCCTTTTTCCTCCCTCCTCATCCTCCACTTCCTCCCCCACGTATTGCCCGAAGGGCTTCCACAACGGCTGGGGGGAACGCTTGGTCCAATAGCGTGGCCAAAATTTGCCCAAACGCTCAGTTATATCGGCGAATCTTAAACGGCTGGGGGCGGCGGTGATTCGCCGTGAGCGTCTTCGATATGTGGAAATAAAACAAACCAAGCAACAACAAGGTGCTTCATGGTTTGCAAGAAATTGCGTAACATCTGTAGCGCCTTTTTTGGTTGGTTTACATGTATTTTCATATGTCAAACTCACGTGCCGCCAGCCGCCTAACCAGTCAGGACGTCAGCTCCTCTGGGCCCGGCGGAAATAACCAGGCCCATTCTGGGGGCCCTCTTGGGCCACTCTTGGGCGATCTTGGGGCCCTCACCGGGCTTCGGGGAAGCCACCCGGGGCCCTTCATGGCGCTCTCGTGGGCCCACCAGGCTTCAGCCAGGTTGTGCTCCTCGTCAGACGTTCTGGGGAAACTCATGGGGCTTCTCGGAGTCTGGTCCCAACCCCCCCTAACACCTCCAGCTGCCCCCTGCATCATGCAAGTCTTCCTCCAGGGCTGGCGGTGCCGTAAGGCCTGCTCAACACACGAGTCGGCGGATAGAAAGATTCAGCGCAACAACGGGGGATCCGTGGGACGGGTCGGATGCCAGATGTGGCGCGAGCACACCTACCTTCCCTCTCTCCCTTCTCCTCTCTCCTCCTCGCTCCTCGGGGAGGGAGGGATGAGGGAGGAGAAGGTAGAAGGTAGGCAACATCAGCGAATATGAGGGAGGACGGGTGGAAGGAGCAGGATGAGCCGCTCCCTCCATCCTCCCTCCTGGCATCCCCCCCCGCCTCCGAGGCGGAGAAGAGCCTCGCCAGTGAACGACAGAAGAAACGAGGCAGGGGCTCTTCGCCACCAGCCGTGGCTCTCCGCCGCCCTCGTCACTCCCAGACCTCCGACATCTTCACTCTTGCAATGCGGTGTCCTGGGAGCTCTGGTCCACTTCCCAGGGACTGTCGTGTCGTCCTGGATCGTTTTCTGATCTAGAATCTAGAGGCCTCCTAGATGGGGTCGGAGGATTGGACCGCATCGCCGAAGTATCGCCGATGCATCGACGACGTCGGCGTGGAGAACATCGGGCTCCGCATCGAGCCGCATCGCCGACGCATCGGAGATGCGGAGCGAGCCTCGGACCACGTCTGCTCGGACCCTGTTTGGGTGGCCTGGGGTAACAGTCTCTTCCACACGATGGAGGCCTGGGCCCTCGCCTTCCTCCCCCGCGGCGCCCACCCAAAAGAACCCCCCCCCCCGACGCTGCTCTCCTGGGAGACGTGCAGGCGCTTCGCGCCGAGGGCGTCGTGCTCCAGCTCGAACGGGGTGCTGACCAGCCTGGACCCAAAAGAAACATCGGCGCTGCGCCCGGATCCCCGGCGGCAATTTTCAACCGGCGCTCTGTCCTCGGTCTCGGGCCTCAGACCGTCACTGGGCCCCGGAGCCATCAGGAATGGATCCAGGAAGCATAACTGCCCCGGGGGAAGGGGTCGAGACCGCTGGGGCTGCGGATTGAACAAATCAGATCGCCGGATGTCCGGGTGCAGGCGAGACACGGCCGCAGAAACGAGGGTCGAAAGCATGAGCCCCTTCGCGGATAGCCAGAGGCCCCGTGGAGATATAACCTGAGCGAAGGACGCTCTGAGGTGGAGAGTCCAACTAGGAAGAACACCCCAAGACTTCCCCCGTTCAGGGAATATCCGCAACACTCGGACTGTTGGACTCTCCAAAACTAGGTGGGGCATAATGGTGATCTTCCTGGTGGGGTGCCCCTCTGAAGCTAGGACTGGTCTTCCACCAAAGATGTTGTCCAGACTCCAGCCAAGAAGAACACCATTCCCAACTCGCCACCAGGAAAATTTTGGACGGTCAAACCTAAGGGTGCTCCTCCAAAGCTAGGACAGCTCTTAACCCCGTCCGGGCCGTATATGCCAAGACCCGTGCGCGAGTGTGCTCCCTAGGTCCGCGAGGCCGCCCTATAGTCATGAACGTTCGCGCACTGTCGAAGCCCATGAATTTACCTGCGCGTACGTCTTCGCCTCGCTCCTGATCGTCGGCGGCCGCGTCGGCGTCGTCGCCTTCACCTTCGTCGGCAGCAACACGGAGCGCTGGCCGCGCAGGTGTTGAGCATTCCAGCATGGAAAAACGCGGCACTTCATTGTCTGGTTGCGTGTCCGCCTATGTAACCTTATCCTACCCATGCTCCATCCTCCCGCTACTTCTGCCGAAGTGTTTGTTCTTCCACCCCGATGTGTTCCTTTTGCTTCTCATTCCCAATACAATACCTCCTGGCCTTGTCTACGAATCGGCCACGTACACTTCGCACGATATAGATATCAGCCGTGCACCGTCTCTTGCAGTGTTGCTGTCGCACTATTGTCGGCACACCTTTATATCACCCCTTGCCCTCGTTGCCCTCCCCATTTTCTCGCGCCCCCATTACTCGACGCCCAGAAAATTCATTTCCTGACCCTGGATGTCATCGTTGGGGGTCTAGGGCCGCCGCCACGGCCGCGCGGGCGTTGCCGCCTCGTGGGGGCGCCGCCTTGGTCGTCGTCGTCGTCGTCGACGTGGTCATGGTCGTGGTCGTGGTCGTCGTTGTCCTGGTGACGGTCGTCGTGGGCAGGTGGCGACATCCGATTTCTACCCCACCAACCATCGGTTCTCCTGAGTCGATGGGAGGCGGGGGCGGCGCTCGGATTTCGCCACAACGCTGCCCCCGCCGCCCGTCGAGTTGCCTGAATCGTTGATCTGCGAGGGTGAGGTTCGGATTTCGCCACCGAGGGGCGGTGGCTCGGGATTTGTGCCCCCCCCGCTGTGCGCTGCAGCTCTCCGCTCCGCCTCTGGTCCCATCGTCGACGATGCTCGCGCGATGCTGCACCGTAGGCGGTCTAGCCCGAATGGCCCCTTGGGGGCGAAAGGCGTGTACGGATCGAATCAGGAAGCCCCCAAACTGAATACATGTACGCGTAAGGAAGCAGCAGCATGGATAGTTACCGCACTCATAAAAAATGAACCAAGCTGCTTCCTTCTCAGTCCCGCGTATAGCTCAAGCCAGCTGGTATTAGAACCGTTGGCGCCTTCACCGCGGCCAGAGGACGGCCTCCCTGCCGAAGCGCTCTTCGGATTCGCCGGAGACTGTGGATGATCTGGGGCTGGAGTAAATGACTCTGCAATTGCTCTCCCCAAAGTGTGGGAAGAAATCGCCTCATCTGCTGCCCCATCTCGTCGCAGTGCGCCCGCCAAGGAACGCGGAAATGATCAGAGGGGGTACGCCTGGGATGCGGGGGTGAACGCGAGCAGTCCAAACGTAGAGGCTCTACTTGAGCAGGGACCGACCGTCCCGGCATTCCTGTAGCCCTACCACGAAGTGTTCTTAGAACCCAAACATGTTCTAATAACAAAAGAGAGTGCCCTAGAACATTGACCCGACATGACTTAGAACAAAACAATGTCAACCATAAGTGTTCCAAGAACATTTCGTGGAAACCACAAAGAGGTTCTTAGAACATTGTTTGGTAGGGCTATACGCGAGCCGGGGCGCTTCGCCACTGCTAGATCTACCGCAGAGCAGGTGCCAGAGCGGGCTCTGCAACAATACTGCTCCCGAGGTCTGCTCTTCGGCCGGCTGCAACTGCTAGGTGCGGAATGGCCTTCGTACGAGGCCGAAGGCCATCAAGAAAAAAACGGGCTGGACGGCTGGACCATCGATTGCAGGGGCGAGAGGCGCAGCCTCTTGATATTTTCGTTTGAGATTCGTTCCAAAACAAGGGTTCGGATTCGGTGTGCCACGTATGGCCTGCTCTAGAGCAAGAAAACGCCGTGGGCCGATCTACCCTTTCTCCGGACTGCGCCGAACGCGACGGCCGCATTCTATAGACTCATCCACCCCCGGAAGTCCCACCAAGCGTCCGGGCTCAGGTGTTTAAGCGAACTTGGTCGTTTTTTTCCACAACCCCTCCTTCCCCTGCTCGGGGAGGAGGTTCATCACTGTTCTTTATTGATATACAACCCCCCCCCCCCCCGCCCAGTCCGCAGCCAACCCAGAACCATGCCGACCCCATGCGGGCCACCCCCCAACCATCCCTTCCAAAAAAACCATACAAACCGCACTCTGCCTCCACATTAGGAGCATGCGCGGCCAACCCCATGCGCTCCCCACCATCCCTGTCAAAAAAGAATCCGCCGACCCCTTGTGGGTCTCTGGGCGTGTGAGATTCCCCCCCCATAATCCCACCCCCCCCAGGGACCCCAAACCGGCAATTCGACCCCCCCCCCGGGCCCCGCCGGACCCTGGACCGAACGCGTCGCAGGGCTCCAAAACTCGTCGAAAAGGCACCAAAACTTACCAAAAAGGTGCCAAAACGCACCCCCGACGGTCCCCGATACCGCGATTCGCCGACATAGCGCCCCCAGACGCCCACGATGGCCTCCAGGCGGTTTCCGAAGCTGCCAAGACGCCCCACAAAGGCCCCAAAGATGCGACCCGAAAGGGTCGCGAAAAACAGAAATCGGCCCAATTCCTGCGAAAACCACGCATTACTCCGCATGCTCGCCTACTCGGCAATCACAACGTCCGCAACAAGCAAAGGAACCTTCAACATCGCTCCCAGTCGGCCAGAAGGGCCCCAAAGCAGGGTCGCTGAGGGTCCAACGACAGCCCACGAAGCCCCCAAGACAGCCCAAAAGGGCCCCCAGACGGCCCCAACACGGAGTCCATAGGGCACCTTTTCGAGCCCTCGTCTCCAAGACGCTCCCAGCCTGCTCCAAGAACACCCCAAAAAGGGCCTGCGGGAACGCCCAGAAAACCTCCGAGGCCTCCAAGAAGCCACGAGGAAGTCCCCAAGACCCCAAAACTACCTGCAAGACGACCCCGTCAGGCTTCGCACGACATCTTCTTCACCATCCGTGTGGCCACCTACCTGTATACCGCGCAAGGTGGCGGGATGCGCCGCGTCCCATTCGACAACGACTCGTCCAGTTTTTGGACCGCCGCATGCTGTCTATGGGCGCGGGTGTTGACGGGCATTTCCCCCAAATCGTCACTCCTCCTTCTCCTCCTCCTCCGATGACCCCCTCCGCCTCTCCTCCATCCTCCCCCTCCCCCTCTTCCTCCTCCGCTCTCTCCTGTTTGGTACCATGTCACCATTTCCGCGTCTCATCACCAACACCATCACCACCAGCATCATGATCGCCATCACCCGCACCATGACCACCGCCATCACCATCACCACCACCACGGATCACCATCGCCACCGCCACGGATCACTGCCTTGTCGCGTGTCTGGACACATGTGATGCAACCCGCATCCGCCAACCACACTCGGGGCCTCCAGGCGTGTAGTATTCGTCCCGCGAACGGCCTCACATGCCCCCGGACTCGCTCGGGGATGGCCCTGGAGAGCCTCGAGCCCGCCCGCAAAAAGAAACAGGACAACACAACTACGCCCCATAACAGCAAAACGACATTCCCAAGACGATCAGGGGGTCGGCGGATGTGGCGTAAGCCTATAGAATCCACGTCCGGAAGTGACGTGTTGCCGGAGGCAGGTCCGCGGATGCTGTAATGCAATGGATCCAATGTGTCCAATGCTTGCATAATTCCTACATATTGTATTGTATTACATTATTATGTATCCCCCCCTAACCCCCCCCCCTGGAGTCGCGCCACTTCCATCGACCCTCAGGAGGAGGGCCCCTTCTGGGCCTCAAAATCTAGAAAAACCTATGGAAAACCGATGATTTGGGCACCTTGAGCCTTTTGGGGATCCAAGAGGGCCCCAAGACGGCTCCAGATGGCCCCAAGACGGCCCAAGACGGCCCTAAGACGGCCCGAGATGGCCCCAAGAGGGCCCAAAAAGAACCCAAGACGGCCCAAGAGGGCTCCAAGAGCGCCCACAAGAGCGCCTCCAGAGGCCAAAAACATCGATTTCCCTTACGTTTTTGAAAGATTTTAGCTTTCTCGCCTTTTTCGCCTCTCCGAAGCCCATGACGGCCCGAGCAGCCTCCAAGATGGCCCCAAGAAGGCCCAAGAAACACCCAAGGGGGCCCCAAGACGGCCCCAGAGGGCCACAAGACGGCCCAAAGAGGCCCCCAAGACGGCCCAAGAAACCCCTGAGACGGCCCAAGAGGACCCCAAGAGGGCCCCAAGGCGGCCGCGAGAGGCCCCCAAGAAGTCCTCCGAAGGGGCCAAACGGCGCGAAAGCGCCCCAAGACGGCCCAAGACGCCCCCAAGAGGCCCCAAGAGGCCACCAAGAGGCCCCCAAATGGCCCCAAAAAGCCCCCCAGAGACCTCCGAAAAGTCCCCAAGAAGCCTCCAAAAGGCCCCAAAGAAGCCCCCCAAAGGCCACATAGCGACTGGAGTGTAATATTATTTCCCCCCCTGGACGAACTGCGGCGCAGCGCCAGCCAGGTGGAAGTTGGTCACGGCGGCGCCCATGATTAGAGCCAGCGCTGGAAGGGAAGATGGGGAGGGAGTCAAAAAAGGGGGGGAAGAGGCCAGAAGAAGTCCCCAAGAGGCCCAAAGAAGCTCCCAAGAGGCCTCCAGGAGGCCCCCAAGAGGCTCCCAGAAGGCCCCGCGACGTGACTACACGTGCTCCGGACGTGCACCCCGCGAAGCGAGAGGAATCCACGTCCGGAAGTGACGTGTTGCCGGAGGCAGGTCCGCGGATGCTGTAATGCAATGGATCCAATGTGTCCAATGCTTGCATAATTCCTACATGTTGTATCATGTTACATTATTATGTGTCCCCCCCTACCCCCCCCTGGAGTCGCGCCACTTCCATCGACCCTCAGGAGGAGGGCCCCTTCTGGGCCTCAAAATCTAGAAAAACCTATGGAAAACCGATGATTTGGGCACCTTGAGCCTTTTGGGGATCCAAGAGGGCGTGAAGACGGTTCAAGATGGTGTCAAGACGGGACAAGACGGCCCCAAGACGGCCCAAGATGGCCCCAATAGGGCCCACAAAGCCCCCAAGATTGCCCAAGAGGGCCCTCAGAGCGCCCACCAGAACGCCGCCAGAGGCCAAAAACATCGATTTTCCTTAAGTTTTTTCAAAGAATTCGCGTTCTCGCCTTTCCCGGCTCTCAGAGGCCCATGACGGCCCTAGCAGCCTCCAAAATGGCCCAAGACAGCCCAAGCAGCACCCAAGGGGGCCCCAAGACGGCCCAAAGAGGCCCCCAAGACGATCCAAGAGGCCTCCAAGACGGCCCAAGAGCACCCCAAGATGGCCCAAGACGACCCCAAGAGGGCCCCAAGGCGGCCGCGAGCGGCCCCCAAGAAGTCCCCCGAAGGGGCCAAACGGCTCCAAGCGTCCGCAGACGGCCCAAGACGCCCCCAAGAGGCCCCCCGAAAGACCCGGGAAGCCCCGAAGAAGCCCCCATGACCCCCCCAAAAGATTCCGAAATAGCGCCCCAAAACGGCCCAAGACGCCCCCCCCAAAAACCCAAGACGTTCCAAGACGGCCCAAGAAGCCCCCAAGACGGCCCCATAGGACCCCAAGAGAGCCCCAAGGCGGCCGCGAGAGGCTTCCAAAGTGGCCTCCGAAGTGGCCAGACGGCGTAAAAGCGCCCAAACACACCCAAAACGTCCCCAAGAGGCCCCAAGAGGCTCCAAAGAGGCCCCCCAGAGGCTCCAAAAAGCCCCTAAGAAACTTCCCACAAGCTCCCAAGAGACCCCCAGGAGGCCCCACAACGACTGGACTGAACGTGCTCTGAAACACCCTCGGTGAGTCACTAAACAATAATATCCCGCCCTGGGCGAACTGCGGCGCAGCGCCAGCCAGGTGGAAGTTGGTCACGGCGACGCCCATGATTAGAGCCGGCGCTGGAAAGGAATATGGGGAGGGAGTATGAAAAAGGAGGGGGGGAGAGGCCCCAAAGAAGACCCCAAGAGGCTCCAAAAAAAACCCAAGAGGCTTCCAGGAGGCCCCCAGGAGGCTCCCAATAGGCCCCGCGACGACGTGACTGCACGTGTTCCGGACGTGCACCCCGCGAAGCGAGAGGAATCAAAATATACTGCGGGGGCGAAGTGTTGAGTCATGTTCGTGAGGCCTGCGAGCGCTTTGTATGGTTTTTGACAGGGGCGGCAGGGGTCTCAGCATATTTCCTCTTGCGCTCAGAGCTACAATCCCAGACAAGAAGACAAGTCAAAATGCACCTCGCGGCTAAATCTGGATCGTGCTCAAGTGGTTTGTGATAGTGACGGCGGGGGTGGTGGCGCGTGGCCTGCTGTGCCCATGCCCACCAGACACAATCATTAACCTTAATGTTCGACAATGATGGCTGGGGGCGACATATTTCCCGATGTGTGCTGTCACGTGCGCTGGCGCACCTGACGCACTCTGCACGTGCCCCGAACGTGGCGCACCTGGCGTGCCTGGCGCGCTCGGGCCCCAGGTTTGCCTGGCGCGCGTGGCGCCTCTGGCACGCGTGGCGCACCTCGCCCACGCGTCGCGCACCTGGGGTCGGTTTTGGTTCCCAACGGCTGCCCATCCAGAAACGACCGCTGAACATGCGCAGGCCCGGGTGCTATTATGGTTTGGGGGGACAGGTGGGAGTGAGCTAGGCTGCTTGCGGGCGGGTGGGTAGCTTGACCCCTCCCCCCACCCCCTCCCCTGGGCCTGGATGGGCGGGGGACGAGGCACCAGAGCGTCCAGGATGGCCCACGATGTTTCCAGGTGGACCCCAAACAACCCAAGATGACCTCCAAAATGGCTCGAGAGAGCTGAAGATTGCTCAAGCTAGCCTCCCACATACATCGAAGACGGCCCAAGACGGCCCCAAGACGGTTTCAAGTGCCGTCTAAGCCTTCGAAGGACCCCCCCAAGAGGTCAAGATGCTGCCAAAACCTTGGGGAAATCAATGATGTCTGCGTTCTGGCTTTTTCGCTTCTGATTGGCTTCCGAAGCCTCAAGGTGGCCCCAAGACGGCCCAAGAAAACCCCGAGAAGGGCCCAAGAGGGCTCCAAGAGGGCCCAAAGAGCGCTGAAGAGCACCACGAAAGCACCCCAAGAAAACCCAAGAGGCAAGTCTTGGGCCTCCGATGGGGGGGCCTGAATTGAGGACCCCCACTTTGAACCACGGGGGCCAGGACGGCCCCAAGAGACCTCTCAGACCCGCCCGAATGGCCCAAAGAGGGCCCCAAAATGGCCCCAAAACAGCCCCCAGCGGGCCCCAAAAGGAGCCCCACAGAGCCCCAATATGGCTCCAAGAGACCCCCGAGAACCTCTCACAACAACGCTTCAACTCGCCTGGCAAGCTGTTTCTGAGTAGACCGGATGGGGTTGTTTGGTCGCAACCGCAAACGAAGGCGCAAGCGGCGTCAAAGATCGACCCGGGCTACGGGCGAAGCCTAATTACCCAGCGAGCGCACTCACGGTTGCCGAGGCTGCCGCCGAGGGAGGCTGAGGGGCGCCGGGGGCTGAAGGCTGGCTGCAGAAGTTGCCAGGAGAGCCAGGCGGCCAGCGAGCAGGCATCCCACGGGCGAGACCAATGGGAAGAGGACGAAATGTACCTTGTCTCGCCAGGCGCCAGAAGTAGACGCGCCACCGAACGTGATGATGCGCAAGCAGTCCAGCGTGCTAGGCTGCAGGCCAACAAAGTCAAACACACATGGCTGACCAAGAAGGCTGAAGCACTCCTCCGGATGGGGTACGCGAAGCGTCAGTAATTTCTAAGTAAACAACGACACCCGATGTGTCTGTAGACGCCATGTGGAATGTTGCACAGGCCCGAGATATTGGCCTTCTGGAAACAGGTCGGCTCTGCCCTCCAGTGGCGGATTTGGCCGCGCGAGTGGTCGCCGTGGTCGCCGCGGTGGCGGTCGTCGTGGGTCGTGGTGGTGGTCGCCGTCGTCGTGGTCGCCGTCGCCGCCACGGCCGCCGAGCGCGGAGGGCGCCGCGGGCCTCAGCCGCAGGCGCCTCCGCAGGAGCCACGTAGCGGCCACCAGCTGCAGCGCGGGCTCGCTGGCCGCCCCGAGCGCGGCGCTGCCCAGCTCGAAGGGGACCTCTCTCGGGGAGGTGTGACAGGGACTGTAGGGAATAGATAGTGACATAAGCATAAACTTTCGGAGGTCCATTTCGCGTGATAAAGGATGAACCTGATGACGCGTGATAAAGATGAAGGACGCGTGATGAGGATGGACCTTGGACGGCCATCCCAAGGCTTTTCGGGCGGGGCGAGGGTTAGCGAAAGGGGCCGAGGACGGACCAAATGGGGCAAGGATGCACGGGTACCCGTGAGAAAACTGCCCACCCTAACTGTGCGGGTCGACTGTAAGAAAAACAAGCAATGACAAGAACATCAACTTTCGGAGGTCCGCGCAGATTGCCCGGATCGGCGCTGGGGCCACCTGGCGCCGCCCCTGGCGCACTCTGCGCGCCAGGGAGGGGGGTCCAGCGCCGATCCGAGATGTCTGCGCGGACAGGGACTGCAGTCGGCCCATATCAGAAGGACGCGCGATAAGGATGAACCTTGGACACCCCTTTCGAAGCTCTCCGGGCGGGGCGCGGCCAGCGAAAATGGCCAAGGCTGGAACGGAGGGGCAAGGATGCAAAGGGACCCTTGAGAAAATTGCCCATCCTTACTGTGCGGGTTGACTGCGAGGGAACACACAGAGACAAAAACATAAACTCTCGAAGGTCCGCGCAGATTGCCCGGATCGGCGCAGGGGCCCCCTGGCGGCGCCTCCAGCGCCGCCCCTGGCGCACTCTGCGCGCCAGGGAGGGGGGTCCAGCGCCGATCCGAGAAATCCGCGTGGACCTCCGAAAATTGATGCTTATGTCACTGCTTGTTCCCCGAAGGAAGGGCTCGGGCTTGGATGAGGCCTCCCAAATGGGGTCCGAGCAGATGGGATCGGAGGATCGCGCCGCACCGCCAGTGCATCGGCGACGTCAGTGTGGATACAATCGGGTCCACAGCGAAAGGCATCGCCGATGTATCGGCGATACGACTTGATGTGGAACCCGAGACGTCGGGACATCTCTCGGGGAAGCGGGGCAAAGAACGAGATGTTATTTGTATTGTTGGGAGATAGATCAGGTTCTCCTGTGGGGGGGGGAATGAGGTGCCAGTCGATAACCTAACCTTTTCGCTTTGGGCAACCCCGCGCATGCCCGCGCTTGGACCTGCCTGCGCAACTAAGGGCCTCCTAGATGGGGTCCTAGCAGATGGGGTCAGAAGATCACGCCGCATCGCCGATGCATCAGCGATGCATCAACGATACATTGGCGATGCATTGGCGACGTCGGCGGTGCACCGGGGCCGTCGGCGTGGAGAAGATTGGGCTCCGCAACGCCGATGCATTGTCGATGCGGGACCCCTCTCGAGAAGGTGGGAGGAGGAGGGGCTCGAGCTAGAGCCTTGCTTTTCAATATTTCGATATCGTCCGTGACTGGCCCCGCCCCCTCCTCCCCCCCCCTTGTCACGCAATGCGTCGCGCAGGCGCGTGTGGGATTTAGCCATCCCTGGGCATCCCCAGACGGCGCAGGCACGAATCGCGACGTGACCGGCGCGGTCGCGAAGGGCTGGAGCCAGAAAGAGTTCGGGAATAGCCTGGATTATCCAAAGGGGGGCGAGGGAGGAACCGTCCGATAATCTTGCACAGCAAAGCCGAAATCAAACCAACGGTTGCGAGACGTTTAGGCGAAGCGCGAGAGCTTTTCAGAACGCTGACCAATTCAAAATCCATACGGGTATTTCAGAACCACGGACCATCCGCCTGTTTGACGTTATTGTTGTTCCAAACTACGGTACGTTTTGGAGCCATTATGGTTGTTACAAGCATGCCGGAACAGGCTGGACAGGTTCCAAGCATGTTACCTTCGACAAAGGTGGGATCCAACACGCGCAATACTCCAGGGTTTCGAACGCCATGGTTCTGTCTATAGCGCGGGCGGACAGTCTGAGTGAGACGTTGCGCGAATGGCACGTGCACGCGTATAAAAAATGCTCTCTGCCAAACAATGGTTATCTCAGATCTTTGGTTTGTGAACCGGGAACAATGCACACAGCAGTGGCATGTAGTCCAGGGACGCGGCCACCCCAAGCGGCAATGCGCCCAGTGCGCGTCTAAGTTACTACAATCGTCCCCCTCGTCATCGTCTTCCTCCCCCTCGTCATCGTCCCCCCTCGTCATCGTCTTCCTCCCCCTCGTCTTCCCCCTGTGCGTCCCGAATTCGTGTGGCATGCAGATCCGTCTTCACAGTCGTGGGGCGCTCTCCGTTTCTGCCTCACTGTCGGGCTCACTGCCATCATGCGCCGCAGCTCTGACACGCTCTTGCCGCTGCTTCACAAATCGACGCCGTCTCTGTGGTGTGAGTTTCCCCCGAAAAGGGGGACCAGCCGCGCACTCCTCTGCCCGCGCGTCCTGCAAGAAACCCGGCTCGGTGGCGACGGTGGTGCCCGAGCGCCGTGCCAAGGGCTGGCGCGTGGCTTCTCTCCTCTCCTATACGCAGAAGGCATCTATACACCACCACCGTGCCATGCCAGGGCCATCCTTGCCCTGGCAAAGTGTATACGCCCTCCTGGCCGAGGCCAGGAGGGTCTATACACCATCCTGGGGCCCAGGATGGCCCTGGCCTAACACGGTGGTGGTGTATAGATGCCTTCGTCGGATCCTAGACATTCCCAGACGGCGCCGGCGCGAATCGCGACGTGGCTGGCGCGGTCGCGAAGGTCTCGAGCTAGAAAGACATAGCTTCCGTTCGGGAATAGCCCCGATTATCCGGGAGAGACGAGGGAGGTGCTGGCCGAGAATCTAACCTTTTCGCTTTGGGGTGGCGTTCCTCGGCGCTGCTTGGCCTTGTTGCTTCGCAGAGATGCCAAGCAACGCAACGCAATACCAAGCAACGCCAACCAGTGCCAAACAACGCCAAACAATGCCAACCCATGACAATGCCCATGAAATGCGAAACAATGCATCGCCAAACACTGTCGCGTCAGAAACGTTTCCCAAATTGGGGTCGCGCGGGGTTCATTCTTACAGCCTGTGTTTTCCTGACCTTCGGCCCTTGGAAAAATCGGGTCCCTGGACGATCAAAGAGTGATCTAGGGTTGCGTCGGGCCTGTACTCAACAAGTGCCCAAAACATGCGGAAACATAGTCAACAAATCGTCCCCGGACAATTTTTTAACTATTTTTGAATTTCCTCATGTAGAGGGAAGCGCCAAGCGCCAGGGAGGATCCTCCTGGTGGAAGGCCCCTTCCCCCTTCCCCCCCCTGGGAGGATCCTCCTGCTCGGGCAGCCAATAACCCCCACAGGACTCCTGTCACACAGCAACAGGAATTCCCACGAAAGCCCGAAACCAATAGCTCCCAAGCCCTCCGACAGCCTTCATCGAACCTTGTACACCCCCCGAATACGACCAGTGCTTATTAACAACACCAAATTTGTCCTAGAACCTGCTGGAACATAACTGACAAATTCACAATGCGTGATCCTGGTGGGCTGCTCAAGCTCTTGAGACAAAAAATCGCCAGGCACGCGTGGCGCACTCCGCGAGGGCCGCGCACGGGGCGTCTGCATTGGTTCCCAAAGGCCAACTGTCCATCCGATGGCGACCTCTGCGTACTTCAGTCTCGGGTGTTGAACACTTGCGGTAGGGTAGCGTCTTGCAGACCCTAGCGTTGGTTCCTGACACCGCGGGGATCGTTCAACCTTGAACGATCGGGCGTTTCCGAAAAAAACGATCGTTCAACGTCGGCCGATTCTGCGCCGGCGGTTTTCGCCCTCAAACGCCCGCGCTGGTGTCGCCGCCGGTCGACACGACGCGAACCTACCGTGTGCGGTGGGAGGGCGGGTCGGAGTGAGCGAGCCAGCTTTCGGTCTGCCTTTTGCAGGTTTGACCCCTCCCCCCTACCCACTCCCCAGGGTGCGGACCCCCCTGCGCCCCCCCTCCTCCCAGCGAGGCCTTCGTCCGAGGGGAAGGTCCCCTCTTCTGATCGATGTCCTTCGAGATGGCTCCAGGGGGGCCCCCAAGAGGGCCCCACAGGAGCCCCAGGAAGGCTCCGAAAGATTCCACGATAGCTCCAAAGTTACATTAAGGGGATCCCCAAGCACGCTATGATCAGCAACCGTTTTGCTTTGGCAGAGAGTGGGACTTACGCCCGTCAACACTCCCAAGAAGCGCAACCAGCGTGTAGCTGTAATTACGGTCGGGTGCACATTGTCCCAGGCAGTCTGTTGCAGCCTTGTGCGCACCAGTGCGGGCTTCACTTGAGACCTCACGCACCTCCTTTGCAATGAGAGGAATGAGGATGAAGTGGGGGAAGAGGAAGTCGGGAAGGAAGGGGAGGAAGACAGGAAAACCGCGGAACTCTGCACCCATCAGATCAAGGTCGGGAGCCGGCGCCCACCGCTTGGACCACACCAGACTCCCTCGCAAGTCAGCGCGCATAAAGACTCGTCGAACTCGCAATTCTCATTGATGGCGTTCTCGGCGGTGCACCAATCTTCCAAGAAGCTCCCCGGGCAGCCGCAGTCGTTGATGTAACACTTGCCCTCCGGTGTTGGCGCAGGGGTCGGCACAGGCGTCGGTGCTGGCGTTGGCGCAGGTGTCGGCGCAGGCGTTGGCGCAGGGGTCGGCGCAGGGGTCGGATCAAATGTCGGCGAAGGGGTCGGCGCGGGCGTTGGTGCTGGTGTTGGCGAAAGGGTCGGCGCAGAGGTTGGCGCAGGGCTCGGCGCGGGCGTTGGTGCTGGTGTCGGCACGGGGGTCGGCGCAGACGTTGGCGCAGGGGTCGGCGCAGGGGTTGGACCAAGTGTCGGCGCAAGGCTCGGCGCGGGCGTTGGCGCAGGGGTCGGCGCAGGGGTCGGACCAAGTGTCGGCGCAGGGGTCGGCGCGGGCGTTGGCGCTAGTGTTGGCACGGGCGCGTCGCCCGAGGCGCAGGAGAACACGAAAGTGGAGCCCCAACATGCGAAGTTGGCCGTGTCGCCCTCGCCACCAGAACCTGGGCTATAGATCCGCCGGCCCCCTTGTCGGGCCACCAGGCTGTAGGCCGAAGGTTCGCAGTTTCCTGTACCAGTCGCAGCTTCCAATTTCCACTGTTACAATTCTGCTTCCTGCTGCTTACCGTTTCTTGTTGATGGACCGCGCGAAAGGGGGAGGCCCAAAACGGGCAGGTTCAGCACGCCCTGAGCGTGTGCTCTGAATTGCTGGGGTGGGTAAAAAAATACACACCTCACTCAGATCGGCGGGGTCAGGGTCCAAAAACACAAGGGAGTTGCCACATGTCTGAAATTTGCTGGCACCCCTCACGCAGATCGGCGGGGTCAGGGTCCAAAAAACATGATATTTGCCACATTTCTGAAATTCGCTGGCACCCCTCACGCAGATCGGCGGGGTCAGGGTCCAAAAAACATTATATTTGCCACATTTCTGAAATTCGCTGGCACCCCTCACGCAGATCGGCGGGGTCAGGGTCCAAAAACACATGGGAGTTGCCAATTTCCTGAAATTTGCTGACACCCCTCACGCAGATCGGCTGGGTCAGGGCCTAAAAACGCATGGGATTTGCCACATGTTTGAAATTTGCTGGCACCCCTCACGCAGATCGGCGGGGTCAGGGTCCAAAAACACAAGGGATTTGCCAAATTCCTGAAATTCGCTGGCACCCCTCATGCAGATCGGCGGGGTCAGGGTCCAAAAGCATATGGCATTTCTGAAATTCGCTGGCACCCCTCACGCAGATCGGCGGGGTCAGGATCCAAAAACACAAGGGAGTTGCCAACTTCCTGAAATTTGCTAACACCCCTCACGCAGATCGGCTGGGTCAGGGCCTAAAAACGCATGGGATTTGCCACATGTTTGAAATTTGCTGGCACCCCTCACGCAGATCGGCGGGGTCAGGGTCCAAAAACACAAGGGATTTGCCAAATTCCTGAAATTCGCTGGCACCCCTCATGCAGATCGGCGGGGTCAGGGTCCAAAAGCATATGGCATTTCTGAAATTCGCTGGCACCCCTCACGCAGATCGGCGGGGTCAGGGCCTAAAAACGCATGGGATTTGCCACATGTCCGAAATTCGTTCGCACCCCTCACGCAGATCGGCGGGGTCAGGGACCACAAACACAAGGGAGTTGCCAACTTCCTGAAATTTGCTGGCACCCCTCACGCAGATCGGCGGGGTCAGGGTCCAAAAACACATGGGATTTACCACATGTTTGAAATTTGCTGGCACCCCTCACGCAGATCGGCGGGGTCAGGGTCCAAAAACACAAGGGATTTGCCACATTTCTGAAATCGGCTGGCACCCCTCACGCAGATCGGCGGGTCAGACTCACAAGACAAGTCAATTGGTTTTGCCGATTACGAATCCGCCTCGCATGAAGTTCCGATACTGCTTCACGACGGCGCCCAGGCCTCACGACATAGCTCTCGCATAGCGCATTCTCCGAGGTAGGGGGCCGGCGGCAGGGGGCGAAGCCCTTACGGATTACGGGCGGCAAGCTTCGTGAGGTACCCCCTGTCGCGTACACAACGGTGACGATGGAATGGCCCTCGTCGATGCCTTGGAGCTCTCCCATGTCCAAGCACGCCTGCCCTGGCGACGGGTACGAGTCAGTCCTCTGTGACGTGAGATTGGTTGCCGTGTCCCGCATCTCGAAACTCAGCGCAAAGCCCGCGTGGTTGTCGACGCAGACCCTGGACGCAGATACAAGCTCGGGCTGGGACCTAGGGGGATCCAAAAATGAGGACATCGCTTATACCCTACACTCTCCTGGGGTGCGTTTTGACCGAAATTCCGAAACCAATCCAGCCGTGGCAACGAGGGCCTCTCAGGAGGCCCCCGACGCCGAAAGCGAGGCGAGGCCAGCGGTTTCGGCGAAGTCGAAACTCATAGTAAGGATGCACGATCAGGATACAGGCCCCTTGGACGCCCATGTCGAAGTTTTTCGAGCGGGGGTGGTCATCGAAAGTGGTCAAGAATGATCGAACAGGCAAGAATGCAAGGATACCCTTGCGAAAAGGACCCCTCGTTATCGTCGATTTCGCCTGTAGTTCGCGTCGTGTCGAACCCGGCGTTGGTGTCTGACACCGCGGGGATCGTTCAACCTTGAACGATCAGCCGTTTCCGACACGTCAGATCGCTCAAAATCGACAGATCATGGGTCGCTGACGGCGTTCAACGTTGAACATCGGCGGCGGGGCCGCCGCCGGTCGACACGACGCGGACCTGCCGTACCTTCTCCTCCGCTGAGGACCCGTTCTCGCTGAGCTCAGACCGAGCGACCGATAGCCCAGCCGCGGCGAGGAGGGCCACAGCAGCTACCGCCGCCATCTCCAGGGCGCGGGGGAGGGGCCCGCTGCCGAGGCTCGGAGTCCGAAGCCAGCGCGTGCAGCGTGCGCTCGTGCTGGCGCGCTTGCCTTGAGCCGACGGCTTGAACGGTATGTTGAACACGCCATTGCATCACACCCATGAGGATGATGACGGTGATGGCGATGGTGCTGGTGATGATGACGACGATGCTGATGATGATATTGACGATGCTGATGATGACGATGATGATGATGACGATGATGATGAAGATGATGGTGATGATGATGATGATGACGATGGTGGTCGTGATAGATGGCGATGGTGATAGTGATGGTAGCATCATTGTTGATGATGATGATGATGATGATGACAGCGATGATGACAGCGATGATGACGACGACGATGATGCTGATGATGATGGTGATGATGATGGTGATGCTGATGATGCATATGATGATGATGCTGATGATGAGGGTGGTGGTGATGACGACGATGATTGCGATAACGATGATGATGACGATGACGATGACGATGACGATGACGATGACGATGATGATGATGATGATGATGATGATGATGATGATGATGATGATGATGATGATGATGATGATGATGGTGATGGTGATGATGGTGATGATGATGCTTACGCTGATGATGATGATGATGATGACGATGCTGAGAATGCTGATGATGATGGTGATGCTGATGCTGATGATGCTGATGATGGTGGTGATGACCAGGAGACTGAGTTGAGTCGTCCGAAGACGGCACGAGGTGCAAAAGAGATGTCCTGGAGGGTCTGCAAGGGGCCCCGAGAGATCCCCAGCTCGGGGAGGCATCGCGGATCCCGTCGCTGGAGGTGGTCCTCTTGAGGTGGTAGTGGTGTCGACCCTCTTACCTCCGACTATGGGGGGGGGCCGGGGAAGGAAGGCTCGGGGTATCGAAAGGACATTTGCAGGTGGGCCCTTTTCCTCCTTCCTCCTCCTCCTCCTCCTTCTCGCCACACACACAGACACACCTCGTCCTCCAGCTCCTCCTCCTCCTCCTCCTCCTCCTCCTCCTCCTCCTTTCCCTTCCCTTCCTCAGCATGCTCCTCCTTCCCTTCAATTCCTTCCCCTCCCCCTTCTCAACGCCCTCCTTCTCCTCCTCCTGATCCTCCTTCTCGTCCTCCTCCTCCTCCTCACCCCTCTCACCCTTTACTACTGCATGTCCTCCTCCAGGGATCGAGGGCATCGAAGGGACCTCCTCGGAAGGACCGAAGATCTAAGGAATCCAGGTGGCAGAGAGGGAACGCGAGGGGTCAACCAGACCTTGTCCGGGAGGGAGGTTAAGTATGGAATGGATCGAAGAGATCGACAGGAATCGAAGACTGATCGAACGTATAAAGGGACGTTTTGACGAAACCATCTCAGAAGAACGAATTTCCTCCACGTTTCGGGCTCATCACGAGGAGCCCCCTATTTGGCGCAATCCGTGTGTGCGTGTGTGACTGCGTGTGGTGGAGGGGGTCAGAATGAACTCCAAATTTGGCGAGATCCGCGTGAGGGGGGCCGAAATGAAAAGGGGGACGCATGCGAACCCTCCAACTGGGGCCCAGGTGGGGCTCCCTCTTTGGCGCAATCCGTGTGAGAGGTGTGCCGAATTGAGCGGGGGGTGCCATTTGGTGAAAGCCGCGTGAGTTGTGAGTGGTGTAAACAAGCTGGGGGACGCATGCGAACCCTCTCACTGGGGCCCATCGTGGAGCTCCCTATTTAGGCCTCTGGGCCTCCAGACGGGCGAGTCGACGAATTCGGAGGCTGGAGAGGGATCTCTCTCTCTCTCTCTCTCTCTCTCTCTCTCTCTCTCTGTATATATATATATATATGTATTTATCCCAGCCACCGTGCATACGGCACGTTGAGGCGTGGAAGAATGCCATGGGCTGCCTGGCAAGGTTCCTGTAATCTTTTCAGAGACCCAACATGCTCCCGGCCCCACCCACCCGACTGCATTGCCCCTACTCCCGGGGGGCCCTAGGCGGCCATGGCGCCTCGCTGGGGCTCTCCACGACTTCCGTGACGGCCCAGGATGCCCTCAAGATGGTCCAAGAGGACCCCGAGTCGTTGAACAATCGCTCGAAGACGCCCAAGATGGCCTCAAGATGGCTCAAGAGGCCTGCAAGATGCCCGAAGAGGCCTCCAAGAGGCCTCCCCAGAGGGCCCAAGAGGTAAAAATCAATGATATCCCTTCGGTGTTAAAAGGATTTGGGCATTCCTGCCTTTTCGGCTTTCCGACGCTCCAAGACAGCTCAAGAGCCCCCAAGACCATCCCAAAACAGCCCAAGAGGCTTACAAGAGGGCCCCAAGACGGCGGAAGAGCGCCCCAGGCGGCCCAAGAGGCGCCCAAGGCGGCCCAAGAGGGGCCCCAAGATGGACCAAAAAGCGGCCCACGAGAGGGAACACAAACCGAACATCCGAGCCTTCCGCCCCAAGAGGCCCTGAGGAGACTCCAAGAGTCGCCCACGAGGCCCCAAGAGGCCCCCAGGAAGCACCCAAGCGGCCCCAAGAAGCCCCCAAGAGGTCCCAAAAAGCCCCCCAGAGGCCCCAAAACGGTCCCCAAGAGGCATCAAAACTGCCTCCAAGTGGCCCCCGAGAGGCCTCCCACGAGATCCCAACGGACATCCAGTAGGCTTCATACCCACAACCCAGGCACGTGGCGGGACTTGCCGTAGGCAGCATTTGCATACATATATATATATATATATAGATCCGTTGGCCATGTGTTATGTGTTGTTATTTGTTGTTTGGCTTTTCATCTCTCCAGTCCTGTTTCCTGCCTCCTGTTTACTGTCTGCTAAGGGCCCAGCCAAGGGGGGGGGGGGGGAACATCAAATCCTGGCTGCTCCAGGCCACCCCAGGATTCTCCTGGTAATGCCACTGCGCGGCCAGAACGGCCCGAGAGGCCTCCAAGATTGTCCGAAGAGGCTCCGAAGAGAGCCTCAGGAGGCCAAGACGGCCCAAGATGGGCCCAAAATGTCCCACGATGGCACCAAGACGGCCCGAGATGGTCCCAAGACGGCCCAAGGGGCCTCCAAGAGGCCTCCCAAGGGGGCCCCACGCATCAAACATCAACGATTTACCCAACGTTGTTGAAGGTTTTTTGCCTTCTCGCCGTTTCGCCTTCCGGACGCTCCAAGACGGACCAAGAGGTTCCCAATATCGCCCCACGACGGCCCTAGAAGCCCCCATGGCGGCCCAAGAGGCTCCCAAGACGGCCCCAAGGCAGCTGAAGAGGGCCCCAAGACGGTCCAAGAGGCGCCCCAGATGGCCAACAAGGGCCCTAAGACGGTACCAAGAGAGGCCCCAAAGGGAGTCCACGAACCAAAAACTTGGCCTCTCCGCCAGGAGAGGGCACCAGGAGGCCCCAAGAATGTTCCAAGAGGCCCCGAGAGGCCCCCAAGAGGCCTCCAAGAGCGCGTTTCTTTCTGTTCGGCGATGACGGGCGTCATGGGGGGGGGGGGGGCGAAGGGGGGGGGATGACGTAACGCCCCCCCAGCCGTGGCTCCGGCACCGCAGTCGCGCCCTCGCCCGCGACGCGACGAGCGACGAACGACGAACGACGAGCGACGACGACGACGATGACGACGACGACGACGCGAGCAGCATGTAGGTGGCGATATGGCCCACTGCGCCTGTGTACACCACAGCGCTCGCGTGCACCACAGCGCGCGTGTATACCACAGCGCCTGCGGACACCGCAACACAACGCAAAGCCTGTGTACACCACAGTGCTTGCGTATACTACAGCGCCGGTGCACACGTGCACACCGCAGCAACCATGTGCAACACAGCGCCTGTGTACACCACAATGCTTGCGTGCACCGCAGCGCCTGTGAACGCCACAGCGCGTGTCTACACCATAGCATCCGCGTGCAACGCAGCGCTGGTGTACACCACAATGCCTGCGTGTATAAGACAATTAGATGGAGCATGTACGTGAGGACCTGCTGCGAACAACTAGACGCCACGCCAGGAAAGTGCTGATAATCGAATGCGACGTTCTTCCCTCGTCCCTCCTCCTCCACCTTCACTACCTACTTCTCCTCCTCTTCTTTTTCCTCCTCCTCCTCCTCCTTAACCCCTGTCGTGCGGGTTGGCGCTGCAGCGCACGTGCGCATCTCAGCGCGCACCGCAGAATGGTTTATTGAATCGGTCCACTTGGTTCTCGGACTGGAGCCTCTTGGACGCAGATGGGAGGAGTTAGGGTGATGCGGGCGGACTCGGGAGGACTCGTAGATTCCAGCGGCGCTCCGTTGTACATAAATATTATTTTCGATTGTGTTCGGTGGAACCCACAAGCGCTCAATTTTGTCATAAGGATTCGTTCTAACATTCTATATACAACAGTGGTGCTGTGCCGCACACTGTTGCTGTGGTGCACACAGGCGCCGTGGTGTACACAGGCACTGCAATGCACGCAGGCATTGTGGTGTACACTGGTGCTGACTTGCACACGGCTGATGTGGTGTACGCAAGTGCTGTGGTGTGCACAAGAGCTGTTGTGCCCGCAGGCACGGTGGCACAAATTGACGCTGTGTTGCACGCGGCTGCTGTGGTGTACGTAGGCGGTGTGGTGTAAACAGGCGCTGTGGTGCACGACGACGACTGCGGACCAGACTCCTATGCGAATTCCTACACGGACACCTACGCGGATCCCAGTGCACACGGCGGCAGTGCCCGGAGCGCACTGGGGGGGGGAGCGTTACGTCATAGGGGGGGGGAGCGGAGCCATGACGCCCGTCACGCCCCAAGCAAGAAGGAAACAGGCTCCAAGAGGCCCCAAAGAGACTCCCAAGAGACCTCAAATATGCTCCAAGAGGCTCCAAAACGGCTTCCACAAAAACTCCAACAATGACCCGCAGACGCTGCCGAGAAGCCTGCCACGAGAAGCACCCACGGCGCTATCCACGCAGCCACCCGCGCAGCCGCCCGCGGGGGCCGTCGGCAGAGGGCGAAGCCCTTAAGATCTGGCCGCTCCCGCCCTGCGGGTTGGGCCGTGCGAGACCATTCTGACAAAGTGCCTGGTAGGATTCGCGTGGGTCTGGTACAAATCTCCCTGAAGTCCCTTCTCTGGGCCTCCACTTTGCGGGCGGTCCCTCGCAGACCCCCCCCCAAGTCGAAACTTTCAAGAAATCCCAAGGGCCCCAAAACGACCCCACAGAGACTCAAGACGGCCCCCAAAAGGGTCCAAGAAGAGAAGGCTCCACGTCGCTGGCAGACCGCCCCAAGACGCCCAAGATGGCCATGATACGTTCCACGATGCTCCCAAGACGGCCCGAGAAGGCCCCGAGAGGCAAAATTCGTCCCATTCCTATGGGACAACGAATATGTTTAGCATGTGCGACTTTTGGGATTCTGAGCGTCCACGACGAGCCTACAAGCCCCGAAGATCGCCTCAGGATCGCCCCAGACACCCTGAAGAGGGGCCCAAAACGTGCCAAGACAGCCCCAAGACGGCCCAGGACGCGCCGAAGACGGCCCATGACGGCCCCCCAAAGAGCTAAGTGGTGCACGCTATGTTGTTGTATACAAATATACATATATGTGGTATGTAGTGCAATCGATGCTGTACAGTCCCAGTGGGGTACTCTGCGTTGTGCAAGTTATGGCATGCAATATATGTGATGAAACCTAGATCTTTCCATACATATATAGATATATAGAAATGATGGAATAGGGCGAGGACAACAGTTGTGGAACAATACATGAGGTGAAATATACGTGGTACACTTGACTCATCAAGCTCGCAGTTGTCAGCTCCACTGCTCGCGCAATCATCCCACCCACACGCCCGCAGCTTATTTTGCAGAACACACGCGGCGGCGATTGCGACGGATGCTTGGTGTTGGCTGGTGCATATCTGCGGCCGCGCTAGCCCGCGCATAATCGCGCGCGCAATGGCCAGCTCGTTTGGGGCGATCGACGCGGCCGCGGTGGCGCTGACCTCTGGGCACTTCCCAATGGACACTTCAATGCGAGTCGGCCACTTGGGCGGGCGCGGTATCATGGCAACGTCGGCAACGGTAGACCACTCCAAGCCTTCGGCCCCCGGGGCGCCGACCAGGAGCTCGAAATGCCGGTCCGGCTTGGCGTCGGCCGGGATGGGCGGCCTGGGCGGCCGCGAGGCCTCGCGGCGGGAATGGGGGAGAGGAGGGTGGGGAGGAAGGAAGGGGGGGAAGGAAGGAAGGGGAGGGGGAGGAGGAGGGAGGAGGAAGGAGGAAGGACCCATGCGGCACGACGACGAAAAAGATTGTCAGCTTTCGGCGTCCACCGCCCCAGGAGCCTTCTTTTTCTCGATTAGGAAGCAACTCCCGGGAGGTCTTTGTAAGAACCGCTACGGGCTACTAAGCCCGAGCTAAGGGCCACTGAACCAAATCTGGCCAAATGTAACGTAATACGAAACTTGATTGAGCGGGATCAGCAAAATTATACAGGAGAGCGCCGGATTCCGACCACGGATCTACCAGCGCCCATGCTGAATTGAACCTCCCAGGAAAGGCATCTAAAACTCGCGTCGTGAAGCATGACGATGATGCATGTTGTCAACTTACGGCGTCCAGGGGCCCTAGTCGGGCCCCGGGACCATTCACCAAGAGACTCGGGATGAGCGGCGTGTCCAGGGCCAAGGTCCAGACCGCCAGGGGCCTCCATGAGAAAATCAAGCGCGTGATGCCTGGGGAGGGGGGAGGAAGGGAACAAGAGACGGACAAGCTAGGTGCGCTCGCGCAGCACTCGCGATATCTGACATCATACCCCTCCTTCCCTTTCCATGTAAAGCTGGTCCGCGCCACATATGTCTTGCCATTGCGCTGATTTGATTATTTATGTATTTGGTTGAATGTATACACATACGCAGACACACACACATATGGAAACATACAAACATATATGCATATGCGCTGGTAAGGTGTTATTGGGCACCTTGTTCTCTCAATGGCATTTGCAAGATCTGAACCTCCGTTCGCAACGCAATCGGACAAGGGGCCTGTTGCTCATTGGCGGAGGCGGCAGACGAGGAGGAGGAATAACAGGAGGGAAAAGAAGGATGACGAGGATCACGGAGGAGGAGAAGGATCAGGGGAAATGGGAGAAGAGAGAGAGAGAGAGAGAGAGAGAGAGAGAAATATATATATATATATAGAGAGAGAGAGAGAGAGAGAGAGAGAGAGAGAGAGAGAGAGAGAAAAAAAAAAAAGAGAGAGAACAAGAGAGAGAGAGAGAGAGAAAGAAACATAGAGAAAGAGAAAGAGAGAGAAAGAGAGAGAGAGAATGAGAGAAAGAGAGAGAGAGAGAGAGAGAGAGAGAAAATGGGGGGAACGAAGGGGGGCGGCGACGACACGATAATTCGGATCCAAAAATGTGGCCCGAACCACAACGCGAGAGCGTAGTACTGCAGGGCGGGGACACAGCACCGACAGCGAAATTACGTCAGCGCTGCAGCGGGAACGCCAATTATGAGGGACCGAAAACGTTCCGACCGATCGAACACGTATGACGCGTCGTTCTATGTCCACCTGTGCATTTGGGCAGTGCGCGGGAGAGGCGGGGGCCACCGCTGCGCGCTGTCAGGGGGAAGAGGAGGGCAGCGCGCGGTCCTGATTCCTGTCGAGCGGGGGGGGGGGGGAGGGGAAGGAGGAGGAGGAGGAGGAGGACGAGGAGGAGGAGGGGGAGGAGAGGGGGGCCAGACAAACCCCAAGATGCACCAACGATATAGGAGACGGCAGCTAGTCATGGACAACCTGGGAATCCAAGGAAACATTAAATTACATGATAAGGCGTAAGAGAATGAGGCGCTGTGAAACAGATGAGAAATATGCGTCCGCTGTGCAATTGCGCAGAAACCGCTCGTTGGATTAGCGGGCAGAGCGGCGCGCGGCGCGCGCGAAACGCAAGCGCGCCCGCCAAGGAGTGATCCACCCTGGACCACTCGAGCGCCTCGCTTGCGCTTGCGAGTCAGCGACGCAACCCTGCCGATCCTGCAAATCTCCGGCGCCGCATCTGCGACGGCAACGGCGGCGGCGATGCGGCGAAAAGGAAAAGAGGGGGGGGGGGCAGGAGCAGCGTGACCAGCGGCAAGAACGACGGCGCTAAGAAAACGACGACGGGGCCGACAAAACCCGCGCGAGGAGAAGGGGGGGGGGCAGGCGTGCGACGTCGCTGGGGGGATAACGCTGGGCAAAGGGGGCGCGGAGGGCGGAATAAGGGGCGACTGAAACTTGAATGGGGGCGGCGGCTAGAACAGCCTCGATGGGACCGCTGAGAACGGGCCCTCAGAACGCGGGGGGGGCACGGCGGCGACGCGGGGAAAAGTCAGTGGAGGCGGGCCCGGGCCGCGCGAAGATACAGGCCGACTCGCCACTGCGCAAGGCCACGGGCCACCCAACATGTCTGCGATGAGTACTCGCATATGGCCACTGTAACACCATCGCGCGAATGCCGATGACAAAACGTCCTGCGTGCCCCCGCGGCCGCCGCCGCTGCGAATTGCGAGTATGCCAGCAAAAACGCCCCCCCAGACTGCCGCTGACGTCGTGCCCGCCGCCCTCTCCAATTAAGCCAGTTGCCCCTCCTGGCCGTCTGCGCCGCAGGCCCCCGCGGCGACCCCGATCCTCGGCGCCGCTCGCGCACGGCCCAGCCCGCGCCGATTGCGCCAACGCCTCGGGCGGCAAATGCGAGGGCGCCCAAAATAATTGCAAGATGGCCACCGCGACCCAAGGCGGCGAAAGATACCCCCCAGTCTCCGCGCCCGACGCCAGCGCGATCGCCGCAGGATCTCGATCGGCACGGCCCCCGGGCGGCCGCGATTTGTTTGGGCGCGTTCGAGGCGCCCCGATCGAAATACAAAAAACAAACACACACACACACACACAGACACCCACACACACACACATACACAAACAAACACACACGCACACACACACACGTGTGTATACATACATATACGTGTACATGTGTGTATATATATATAGCGCGCCCATCTGGAATGAAAAAATCAGCGGTCGAAATAAGCGAGACGCTCGCCGAGTCCGCGCGCGCACTTCTCGCATGCGTTTCGTCTATTTGCTTGCGTATTACTCTTGTTTGTTAAAAAACACGTCAATACATATATATATATATATATACATACATATATATATATGTGTGTGTGGCAAAAAATAAGAAGGAAACAACAACAAAACGGTAGCGGAGGCGCAACAAGAAGGCAGGGGAGGCGCCTCATGTTCAACAGGAACGCATAATTTAACTCGAAAAAATAAGCTCGCCCCGATAGGTGAACGCGCGTGAAAAATAATGTTGACTACTTGTCCCCGGGGCTAACGGCGGGGGCACGGTGGAATGGCGCGACGGCCCCGGGAGACCCGCGACGGAATGCGGCTGCCCCGCGGGGCCCTGCCCCCCCCTGCCCCACGCGCCCTCGGGTTGAGAGCCCGGCCGCCTCCCGACGCCGGGCGGGCGGACGGGCGGGGGCGCGCCGCCAGGCGAGGGGCGCAGCCGCGCGGCTCAGCAGAGGACGTCTGCGCCGCGCCGCCCCCCCCGGCAGCGTGCCCGAGAAAGTTTCGCCGACGTGGGCCGGCGCCTGCAGGGCAATGACCCTGCCATGAAAATGCCGCGGCCCCGAGAAGGGGGCCCCAGCCGTCGCCGCGGCGGCCGCGCGCGATGATCGCAAGCCCCTCAAGCATTTGCCCAGCCGAGAGCCGCAGCGGCAGAGGCAGAGGCTGCGCGCCCTATACTTTCACGCATTTCGCGCGCTTTGCGGCCCCACGGGCGACTCTGTCGAGGCCGCGGCAGCAGCGGCAGCGCGCGGCACTTGCGCTCCCCAAGCTCCATCAAAGACCCCGCAGGCATCAGCCGCGCGCGGCGCTCGCGCACCCTTCGCTCGTTCGATGGCCCGAATAAGGAAACCCGCCAAAGGTCCCAGCGTCGGCGGCCGCGCGCGAAATCGGGCACCGCCCGCGCGCGCCCTGGCTCCGCGGGGACCCCCACCGAAGGCCCCGCAGGCGGCGGCCGCGCGCGGCGTCTGCAGAACCTTCGCGCAGTTCGCGGCTCGACGGGGGGCCCCGCCAAAGGCCTTGGCGGCAGCGGCTTGGTGCGGCATATTTGCGCAACTGTCGCGCGCGTCGTGTTCAAAGAAATTCCACCAGAAACTGCGATCAGAACTGCAGAGGGGCGGGCCTTTCGCCAATGTTGTTGCACGCGCACAGGCGACGCCAAGCCCCGCACCGCGCCGATTCATGGCGCGCCCCCGCGGCGGGAGACCACAAAATCGAACCGTGGAAGCCGATCCCGCGCGCCGCTGCAGGATGCATGATCGCCTTGGGCTGCTATGGCAATCAGCTTTCCCGGCAAGGTAATCGCTGCGCGCCGGAAACACCGCTTGCGCTTGGAACGCTTACACCTTATACTAGACGGTCATTTAACTTACCGATGTCGAATATATGTTGTTGTGCACCTACTTTCGTAACCTATTTTACGGCTACTTTGAATTCACATGCCAGTACCTTTCCATATTACCTTCGCTCTAATACAACACACTCCCGTCCCAAGTCCCCTCCTCATCAAACCCTGCGGTCCTTCCATGTCGCTTCAAAGAGAGCCCCCTTTAAAAGACCAAGGGTCCTATGGACCTGCCATTCAGGCGAGGGCCCCGTGTTGAAATGGAGATGCCTGTTCTTCGCGCTTGCGAAGAATAAGGAATACGAAATGATATGATCATACACTTCAGCCGGGTGTCCAGCGATATCACCACGTTTAAATATGAACGAAAACGCGTTTCGCGGACGCTTGCTTGGGACAAATCCCAAGACACGTCGGAACCAAGGGGGCGGGGGGGGGGAGGGCCTAAAACAATCTCTAAGCGAGTGGGGAACCGGGGAGGGCCCCCCCCCTGGACACCAGCATCTCTAACGGGGTGGGGGCCTCCCCCCCGCCAAGGAGGGAAGGAGGGTTCGAATCAGGTCCTCCCCCTCCCCGCCCCCTGTTCAAGGGGGGGGATCGAACCGCCCCCCCTTCAACCTAATCAAGCCCAAATGCCAATTGGTGCTCGATCTAACTCTACTAGAATCCTACTCTAGCTTGATCTAAATGTTCTCGCACCCTCCTGGCAGGGTTCGGTCCATCTCCGATACGAACGCACTATAGCTGGATCTAGATCACATTAAATCCTGTTCGGGTTCGGCCCAACCCAAAAATAATCCTACGACAGCTGGGATCAATTTCAGAATAGCCTCCCAGCCGGGCCCGATCCGGATGGAATCTCAAATATAGCTTGGTCCAGCCCAAATTGAATGTTACTAGGGGTCGGTCCATCTGAAATAGAATCCGATTGTAGCTACATCCGGCTTCCAGAGCTCGATCAAGCTCGAATAGAATCCTACCAGGGCTCGGTCCAGCCTTGATAGCACCCTACTGAGGATCGGTCGTCGTCGTCGTTGCTCGACGGCGCTGGCGCCAGCGCCATCGCTCGCCGTCGCTGGTTACCACTGAAGAGGGGGGGGTGTACCCCCCCCTAAGTTCGAACCCCGCCGCCCTCGCAATTCAAGTCCGTCATGCCCAGTTCGACCCCTCCTTTGTAATTCGGATGGGGGGGCGGATCGAACCACCCACCCAACCATTCCCAGCGTCCGGACAACGCGTTCCCTCAAACATGACTACGTACCCCTGTCTGTGTATATGTTGCACACGCGGACGCCTCTGATCACGCGCTCCGAAGAAGTCTCGAACGATAACTCTATTCTGCACAGAGGCCACCCTCCACCCGTGAAGTTGCTACGCGTGTTCAAAAGTATTCCCTCTTTTGAAGAGAAATTCGCCACCCTTACTGTAAGTGCTGCAAAGTTTAAGGTGTGTGAGCGGCGCTGAAGTGAAATCTCATTTTCAGAAGGAGCCTCCTTCCATCCATGTAGCTGTTGCAAACTTTGACTAACGAATGCGCGCGACGCTCCGGCGAGAGACAGTTTTTGAAAAGGAACCACCCTCCGTCCTCGTAGCTGTTGCAATTCTGAATACGAATATGCGCGGCGCCGTGACGAGAGCCTCATTTTGGAAACCTCTCGCAAGAACAAGCTTGTCAGGCGAATACGCGCACCGCTAAGGCGAGAACTCTATTGTGAAACCGACCCTCCATCAATCCTTGTGGCTGTTGCAAGGTTCCCGCTTCAGGAGCGCAAGTAGTGACGAAGTCTCACACAAAACGCCCGACCCGCCTTGCCGACAAGCCTGGGTGTGCCACAAGGAGGAGCCATCTAGAAGGAAGAATGATAAAACGAGAAGGGGGGGTCAAGAGGTGGATGATGAGGAAGGGCAGGAAGTGAAGGTGGAGGAGGGGGAGGACTGGAGCGGGCCAAGACGACGGCGACCCGCCCCCAAGTCATCGGACCCTGGACTTGCGCTGCGAGGGGCCTGACCAGGTGCTCACCGGGAACCTGGCCGTGGCCACGAGACGCCGCCTGGGGCCTCCGAGACACATCGAACACATACAGCAAAAAACCAAGGCCAGACCGGCGGCGGCGACGACGACTCCGCTCCCCGCAAAACCACATCAACACCCCTGGAGCTCTCCTGGGGGGCGTCTTGAACAGGAAACCAAGGTAAATCCAGGCCGTGGCCACGAGAAGCACCTTCACCAAGCCTAAAAATGAGAAGCCCCGACAGGACGACGACGACGACGACGACGACGACGACGACGACGACGACGACTACTCCTCCCACCATGACATGTTATTAGTTGTGCGTATTTATATACACGCACCATGGACAAACAACCTTGGAATAGTATTCCATGACATAAAGCGACGGCAATGATTGCCAATCCCTGGGACACTTCTGAAATGAGTCCTGGCCAGAATTTCGGGGCGGACCCAACCGTGGCCAAGAGAAGAACCCGCGAGGACTCAGCCCAGCCTTTGCCTCGAGAGCCCAAAACAACAGAAAACGGCGACGACGACGGACGACGGCAATCAGCTACAGCGACGGCGACAGCGATTGGTGACGGCGATCGGCGACGGCGTTCGGTGATAGCGACGGTGACGGCGACCGGCGACAGCGACCGCGATCAGTCACGGCGCCAGCGACGACGGCGACGACGACGGACGACGGCAATCAGCTACAGCGACGGCGACAGCGATTGGTGACGGCGATCGGCGACGGCGTTCGGTGATAGCGACGGTGACGGCGACCGGCGACAGCGACCGCGATCAGTCACGGCGCCAGCGACGACGGCGACGACGGCGATCGATGACGGCGACGGCGACAACGGCAACGGCAACGGCGTCCACGGCGGACGGCGGCCACGGCGAACGGTTGCCACGACGACGATGGCGACGGCTGCCACGGCGACAGCGGCGGCGGCGGCGACGGCGATGGGCGGCCGCGCCTCCTGCGGGGGCGCCTGCGGCGCAGCCGCCGCGGGGGGCGCCCGCGGGGGCGTCGGCGGGGGCGACGGCGGCACCTGCACGTGCGACGGCGCCGCCGTCGTCGCCCGCCGTCGCCAGTGGCGACGGACGACAGGCCAGGCGGATCGGAAGAGAGAGGCGGAGACGGCGACGGGGCGCCGATTTTGCGCGCGCGGGCGCTCGCGTGCGTCAACGGAGCTCCCACTTCATGTCGTTCCGCACCTCCTCCTCGAGCTCCTCCCTCAGCTCTCTGATCGCGGTCTCCTTCAGGTCGCCCCTCAACTCTTCGATCACCTCTTCCAGCATCTCCTCCTTGAGCTCTTCCCGGGCGTAGGGTCGCAGCTCCTGCTGAAGCTCTGCGCGCACCTCGTCGGCCATGTCTTGCTTCATCTTCTCCCTGACAGCGTCCAGCTTGGAGCCGCCCGCGTCGCCGCCTATCTCCGAGCCCACACTGCTCACCTTTCTGTCGTAGTCCTGCATCGGCAGGCTAAACTCAGCAGCCGGCTCGTCGCCGTCGTCGTCCTCCTCCTCCATCTCGTCGTCCAACTCCTCTTCGGCCTCCACTTCCGCGCGTGGGGCAACGTCCACTTTCATCTCGACGTCGGAGCCGAATCCGCCGACCAGCCCGGAAAGGCTGCGCAGTCAGTCAGCGCGCCGGAGCCGAAACCGCCAACCAGCCCGCAAAGGCTGCACAGCCCGCCAACGCACACACCATCAACACCACCAGCACCAACAACAACAGCAGCAACGACCACAACAACAACAACAACACCAAACACAACAACAACACCAACAACAACAATAATGTTGAGACTGTTCGCTCTTATCTGTTCGGGTGTCCGTTAACGCACATTTCCCAAACCCTCGATACCCGCCCTCTTCGTCTTCGATCGTACCCCTTTTGGGGGGTATTCCTTTCTTCCCTGCAGGCCCGGCCCCGGCAAGCGGCGGGGCGGCCGCGGAGCGTCGGCCTGGCCAGCGGCAGCGCTGATCAGCGGCAACCCGACCCCAAGAAGGACGGACAGGGGACCGACCACGACGACGACGACGGCAGCGACGACGACGAGCGAAAGCAAGAGAGAGAACGACAGCAGGGCCAGGAAGGGAACGAAGTAGGCCACGAAGGGCGACAGCGGGGACACGAAGGGAATGCGTATCGGGCAACGAAGAGCGCGAACGAGCGGGGGCCACGAAGTGCAGATAATGCGGGGCCACAGAACAACAACAACAACAGCAACAGCAACAACAACAACAACAACATCAACATCAACAGCAACAGCAACATAAACAGCAACAACAACAGCAACGCCAACAACACCACCAACAACAACAGCAACAGCAACAACAACGCCAACAACACCACCACCAACAACAACAACAGCAACAGCCACAACAACAACAATCAGTTTAAGACTGTTCGCTCTTATCTGCTCGCGGGCCATTCAACACGTATATCCTAAACCCTCGGTGCCCGCCCTCTTCGTCTTCGATCGTACCCCCCTGGGGGTATATATCTTTCTTACCTGCAACGAGTATTTCGTGCAGCCCCGAAGGCAGGGGAAGAGAGGACGATTGGAAGGAAGGGACAAGCGGGAACCGTTTTTGTTGTAAACCAGGTGCCCGGGGCGCAGTTTGGTGACACCTTGCTTGCCCTTGTGCCAAATAGATTGCGAGCCCCAGAAGGAGCACTTGAATTAAAACATGCAATGGTTACTGGGGAGGTGTCATCAACAATCAATGATTAGTCTTTGGACAATGAAATTTCAACGACAACAATAATACCAGCACAAGCACCACCATCGCCACCACCATCACCACCCCCAACAACACCAACCACATCAACAGCAACATCAGCAACATCAACATCGACAACAAAGCAAACAACACCACCATCAACAGCAACAACAACAGCAACAACAACATCATCAACGAAATCAACAACAATAACATCAACAGCAATAACAACAGCAACAAGAACAGCAACAACTCCAGCAACAACCAAACTAATATCACATCATCGCAACGCAAATTCAACACATCCCAGACATGCGATGCCTTGATCTTTTGAATACGCGGTCCCATGAAATCCCGACCCTTTCCCCAGGGCTTGTTTTTCATGTCCCCTGGAATCCCGACCCTTTCCCCAAGGCCTGTTGTTCATCCTGAACCGTTTTTTGACTTTGACGATCCTGGCCCCCAGTAGTGGGACCCTTTGGAGTCGAAGATGTGACTGAAATCCTCCCGTCGTGTTTATTCACGGCGCGAGAATGCCTGGGATTCCATCATCATGCACCCGGCCGCCTGCCCCCCCCTTGCAAGAGGAGACGGGAGAGGATGGGCACGTGCATTGGCGCGTATGTTGCTGGTTTGGTGGGCGAGCAGCACTGACGTTTTCCCCCTCCTCCTCCTCCTCCTCGTCCTCCCCCTCCACCTCCCCCTCCTGTACCTCCCTCCTCTTCATCATCACATGCCGCCTCACCCTCCACCTCCTCCTTCTCCTCGCTCAATCTCCCTCGTCCTCCTCCCCCTCTTCCTCGGCCTCCCTCGTCCTCACCATCCTGGCCAAAGGCAGTCGATGCCTGGTGCCGTCGACGCTCGGGATGATAGTAGCTGGCACCTAGATCGCACGCTCTTTGAAATCTGGGCATCATTGTTTTCACACTGGGCGTTTTCGCCCCGTTACGGGCCCAGGGACCATCGCGCATCGCTCTGGCCCAAAGACTGCCGCAGACAGACTGGGTCTAGGGATCTAATCGTGACTTTTCGCGGTTTGCTTTTTTGTTCGCAGCGTCGAATCTCAGGTCCAGCCCGGTGCCGTCGATCCTTGGGGCCGACCGCTCGACACCGACGCATCGACGCGTGATGCGCCGCAAGGCTCGGAAACATCCCAAACACAAGGATACTGCGAGTCGTACCTCCGATGGGAGGGTGCGGGGGGGGAAAGGGAGGGGGAATAAAAGGAGGACAACATTCAGTAGCGACTCTCAACCGCCACTGTGACTTCAGACGCGCTTCAAAACGAAACGTTTTTCGGGCGCCGTCGTCCGAGTGTTAGCTCAAGGCCCAGCAACTGATGGAGGCACACGATTAAAAACAACAAACTTTATGAGGCGGGCGATTAAAAAATAGTTTCGCGGGCCTTCGCCCCGCCGCAATAGCGGAGGGGCGGAACGGGCAGAAGGAGGGCGGTCAATCCCGGGTTCTTTGGAGGCCCGGGGGGGAGCGCGGGCTGATAATTCAGGGCGGGGGAGCGGAACAACGGAGGGCGGACAATCCCTGGTTTTGAGGAGGCTCCGGGGGGGAGCGCGGGCTGACAATTCACGGCGGGGGGGCGGAGGGTCAATTCAGGGCCGGGGAAGGAAAAGCCGGGAAGGACTTCGCGGGCTGACGATTCGAATTCGCAGGGGCAGACACTTCGAGGCCGCGGGAGTTGCTTTTGACCAGCCGTGAATGTGAAGCGGAAAATTTCTGACCCGCCAGCCCTGCGCGGAAAGCAGACATTCTGCGCCGCCTCCAGACAGCGACATCCTCCCCCAGCTATTTCCTCCCCCCGCGGGCGCGGGTGATCAAACGAGCGCAGGAGGACGAATGGGCGGACGATCAAACAAAAAAAAAGTTTCTGGCGGCTGAATTCTATTAGTCTGCCCCGCTCATTCATGTTGGGGCCCCGGGACGGGGGAGGGGGGGGACATTCTCTTAACCGTTTGCCCCCATTACATGATCAATGACGGACAGCCGCGAGGTAGCACATCACCATGACAAATCCGAATCAGCTGGCGTGATGACAAATGGAGGGGGGCCAGAATTCCGCGGAATTGACCGGCCGTTGTCGCCCACATCCGTTGGGAGGCTGGTTCGCCCGAGGCGCCCCCTGGGGGCACAAAGAAAACACCATTCAGCACGCGTAGGTAGGACATCGCGGAGTGGGGAAGAAAGGAAGCGGAGGTGGAAGTTGATGATGAAGAGAAAGAGAAGCATCTCAGAGGTCCGCATCGGTGTCGAAAGGCCATGTCGTGCCGAGTTCACTCCCGAACAGGCCTCGTGACGACCTTGAGGCCTCCACCGGCCCTCACCCAGCCAGCAGGACCACGTGGCGGCGAGCAAGCAGAGCCGGGGTCACGCAGGCCTCTTGAGAGGCACGGGGGCAGAAGGACGCGGCTCCTTCAGCAAAACCCCCCCCTCTCACGCAGACTTCTTCTCCAGCGGCCGAGCGATGCCACTGCAGCGAGAGCAAAGGCTAGGCACGCTCAGCGTCAATTCAAGCACCTCCCGCCGGTCGTGGAAGCGGGGGACGAGTCCTGCGGGGCGCGCCGAGCGAGAGGCGCGCGGAAATGGGTGGGAAAGCAGAGAGCTGCCGCGGAGGAAGAGGGAGGAACAGGCCCGACCCTGGCCGCAGCTTCTCGCGCCAACACGCGCCCGCACCTTGGCCCCAGCAGCGCGGCCAGCGCCCAGCGAGGCCGTCGAGCGGCTCGGCGGGGCAGCCTTCTGCCCGCCATGGCAAGGCGCCACGGCGTTGGGAGTCCGCCAGGGGTCCGCCGCGGACGCCGGTCCACTGGGCGGCGCTGGGAGACTACCAGACCATGTCTGGGCTCACTTCAGGCTCCGCTCCAAAGCTAAGGGTCTCCTAGGTGGGGTCGGAGTAGATGGGGTCGGAGGTCGGAGGATTGCGCCGCATCGCCGATACATCGGCGATGTATCGGCGATGCATCGCCGATGCACCGGCGAGGCATCGTCGATGTCGGCGATGCCTCCGCGACGTGTCGGCGTGAAGCAAATCGGCCCCCACGACGAGCCGCATCGGCGATGCATCGGCGATGCGGCGCGACCCTCCGACCCTCCGACCCCATCTACTCCGACCCCATCTAGGAGGCCTAGAGCGCAGGCCCCTCGAGCGGCTCGGCGGGGCAGTCTTCTGCCCGCCATCGCAGGGCGCCCCGGCGCTGGGAGTCCGCCAGGGGTCCGCCGCGGACGCCGGCCCACCGTGCTGCGCTGGGAGACTACCATGCCTGGGCTCCCTTCAGGCCCCGCTCCAAAGCGGCACACGGTGCCTACTTGCTCGGCTCCAGGCGGCAGAACAAGCTGTGCACCGTGCCTTGCCGCCGCGGACTCCGCCGCGGAGTCCGGGGCCACCAGCGCGTGAGGGGCTGCGGAGCCCACGCGCGCCGCCCCCGGGGGCCGGGCCCCCGGGGCCCGCCGAGTGCGCCTCCGGCTCCTCCTCCTCCTCCTCCTCCTCCTCCTCCTCCCTCCTCCTCCTCCTCCTCGCTCCTCCTCCTCCTCGCTCCTCCTCCTCCCTCGCTCCTCCTCCTCCTCCGACACGGTGCACACAGGCCATCCGCCGAGAGACGCCGTCGACGCGGCCCCGGGCAGGGGCTGGGCGTCCGCCAGGTGCAGAAACGGGCCCGCTATAGCGGGCCTCCTGGGGCCCGCTGCCGGGCCCCAGGGGCCACAGGAAGGATATCCAGGGCGCGAGAGATGCCCCCGTGGGCGTGGTCTGTAGCTTTGGGGGCGCGGATGGAGATTCTCGAGATCATGGTATCGGAGGATGCCTGGGCACGAGGGATGAAGATGATGATGATGATGATGATGATGAGGAGGAGGAGGAGGAGGAGGAGGAGGATGATGAGGAGGATGATGATGATGATGATGATGATGAGGAGGATGAGGATGAGGATGAGGATGAGGATGAGGATGAGGATGAGGATGAGGATGAGGATGATGATGATGATGATGATGATGATGATGATGATGATGATGATGATGATGATGATGATGATGATGGTGACAATGAGGAGGAGGAGGAGGAGGAGGAAGAGAGGCGAAGTGTGTGTCTGTGTGGTAGAGAAGGAGAAATAGAGGGAGAGAAATAGAGCGAGGGAGAAATAGAGGAAATAGAGGGCGGGGCTGTGACCGGGAAGAATCGCTCCAGGGCCTTCGGGAACGCTCTCGAAGCTTTAGGGAGACCGCTCGAAGGAGGAGGAGAGGTGGAGTGTGTGTGTACGTGTGCGAGAGAGGGATATTGAGAGAGAGAGAGAGAGAAAGAGATTATGAGACTGACTGGCACCATTATTGCGGACGCGCTTCACGAGTCAAAAGTAAGTGCGTGTGTGTGTGTGTGCGTGTGTGTGTGTGTGTGCGTGTGTGTGTGTGTGTGTGTGTGTGTGTGTGTGTGTGTGTGCGTGCGTGCGTGCGTGCGTGCGTGCGTGCGTGCGTGCGTGCGTGCGTGCGTGCGTGCGTGCGTGCGTGTGTGTGTGTGTGTTTGTGTGTGTGCGCGTGCGTGCGTGCGTGCGTGCGTGCGTGTGCTTGTGCTGAGTACGCGCGCGTGCGTGTGGACCCACACTTGTTGCCATCTCTTCGGGGCACATATGTTTGTTTCCGCCGGTGTTCGCCGGCGGAGCCGCCCCCGTTTCAAATCTGGCGGCCTACGCGGGCCTCCCGCCGAAGAGGTGCCAGCTCCTCCGATCCTCGACGGCGAGGCCCCGTCTGGAGCGCATCGGGTGCAGGACGGGGGAGGGCACGCCGGAGGCCGCCCTCGGGGTCCCTCTTGGAAGGGGTCGGCGAGCTCTGCGGCAGCGGCTCTGGATTCAATCTTCATCTCCTGCGGATGTGGTAGGGGGAGGGCTGCGCGCCAAGAACAAGCTCTCTGTCTCTCGTCTCTCTGCCTCTCTCTCTCTCTCTCTCTTTCTCTGCCTCTGTCTGTTTTCTCTCTCTCTCTCTCTCTTTCTTTGTTTCTTTCTTTCTTTCTTTCTTTCTCTCTCTCTCTCTCTCTCTCTCTCTCTCTCAATTCGCCGGCCCAACGGGCCAGAGGCGTGCTAAGATCTCCGGTAACTGGTTAACAATTGTATTGTACTAGTTCGCGCGCGCGGGGCGGCCCCTGGGGGTCCCCCGGCGAAAAGTACCCCGCCCGCCGCCTGGCAAGGTCCCGCCCGGTTCAACTCAGAGATGGTTTTCCTTCTGGGTGCGGCCTCTCAGGCCGCCCTGAGCGCGCCAAGAGTGCCCCAAGAGGCCCCCAAGACTGCCCAAGAGGCCCCCGAGACGCCCAAAGAGCGCTCGAAGACGCCGAAGATGACCCCAAGACGGCCCAAAAGGCCCCCAAGACAGCCCAAGAGGCCTCCAAGACGCCCCAAGAGCCTTCCAAGAGGCCTCCGAAGAGAGCCCCAAGAGGCCAAAATCGTTGATTTTCATTGTTTTTTTCGATGTTTTTTGTGTTCTGGCTTTTTCGGCTTCCGGACGCTCCAAGACGGCCCAAGAGGCCCCCAAGACCGCTCCAAGACGGCCCACGAGGCTCCCAAGACGGCCCCGGAACGGCCCAGGAGGGCCCCCAAGACGGCCCAAGTGCCGCCCAAGACGGACCAAGAGGCCCCAAGACGGGCCCAAGAGGGGCTCAAGAGGGGAACCGAGAACTGAAAAATCGAGCCCTCCGCCCCAGAAGGCGCCCAGGAGGCCCCAAAAAGGCCCCAAGAGGCCCCCAAGAGGCCCCCAAGACGCCCCAAGAGGCGCCCAAGAGGCCCAAAAGAGGCCCCAAGAGGCCCCAAAACGGCCCCCAAAACTCGGCTAGCCCACAACGGTGCGACAATATGGGCCGGCGGAATGAGCGAAGCGATTAAATATATATATATATATATATATATATACGCTAGAACCACGCGCGCTTCGCGCGAGCTAGGTTCTAGCAAGCGCAGGCGCTTGACAATACCACGGCTGCGTGCATTGACAAAGTCACGGCTGCACGAATGCACGTACCGACGAATGGCTTCAGCATGGTTTGAAAAATCAACATGAGGGGCTGCTTGCGGACTGTAGGGGCTCTTTGGGGCCTTCAGTGGGCTTTGTGGGGCCTCTGGATTGCTTCTTGGGGGGAGGCAATTTTGAAATGTTTCGAAGCCTCCGGGGGGCCGTTTTGGGGCATCCTGGGGCCTCTTTGGGGTCTCTGATGGGGGTATTTTTAAGCCTCTTGGGGGCCTCTTAGGGGCCTATTGGGGCGGAAATCTCCATTGTCGGTTCGTGTTCCCCCTGTTCAGCACCTCTTGGGGCCGTCTTGAAGCCCTCTTGGGCGCCTCTTGGACCGTTTGGCCGCCCTCTTGGGCTGTCTTGGGGGCCTCTGGGGGGCCTTTGGGGCCGTCTTGGGGCGATGTTCGAGGCTTCCTCGGCAATCGTGGAAGGTCAGAAGCCCGAAAACGCGGGCAAGCAAAAAACATAGAAAAACACAATGAACATCTGTGATTTTAGCCTCTTGGGGCTCTCTTGGAAAGCCTCTCGGAGCGCCCCTGGGGCTTCTTGGGGGCTCCTTGGGCCCTGATGGGGCTAACTTGAGAGTCTTGGAGCGCTCTTGGGCCGTCTTGGCGGCTTCTTTCCGTCCCCGGAAGCCGTGGTGGACGCTTCCCGGGGCGCAAAGGAGCCTCTGGACGCCCGGGGGCAAAGAGGGTTACGGGGGTGGGGGGGGGAATTCGGGAGGGTGTCCCGGCCTGGGGCCCTGGCCCCCGGTACCCCGGTATATGATATATATATATATATATATACATATATATAGATCGGCAACAAGACTAAGAATCCGCCGACCTTCACCTGCTGGCGGTGAGAAGGCGTGTGAGATGATTGGCTGTCCTCCTCCCTCGCCCCCCCCCCAGGGCCCAAAACTCGCCTGAGAGGGGGGGGGTCCGGGGGGGACAACGCATCCTGGGAGCTCTCTGGAGCCTCCAAAGAGCCCCAAGACGGCCCAACGAGCGCCAAAACAATCCAAGAGAGCGTCGAGACCGCCCAGGGTAACCCCGCGACGGTCCAAGATGCCTTCAAGACGGCCTGAGAGGCCCACAAGACGGCCCAAGAAAGATCCGAGGACCGCCGAGAAGGCTCCAAGAAGCAGAACTCGTCCTATTCCCGAAGGAAGCCGTGCACTGCCGACACGCACTCCTATGTCGTGTTGGCAACGTCCACTACGGCCCAAGGATCCCCCCAAGATCGTACCAGGACGGCCCATGAGGCCCCCAGGAGGGCCCCAAGACGGCCCAATGGGAGCCCCGAGAGCGAGAGGGCCCCAAGACGGCCCCAAAGGCAAGACGGCCCAGGAGGGTCCCTTGAGGGGCAAGACGAACTGACATCTCGAGTCTCTCCCGCCGTGATGGCGCCAAGAGCACCCCAAGGACTCGCGAGGCACCCCCAAGAGGCACTAAGAGGCTCGCAAGAGGCACCCAAAATGCCCCCAAGAGGCCCCCGAGAGGACTCCAATGCCCCGAGGAGCCCTCCAAGAGGCTCCTGAGAGGCATTCCAGGAGACCCCCATATGAGTCCCCGAGGCTCCTGACCCACAAGCCTAGCACGGTGGCACGACTCTTGACGAATTCACTGTTATGGGGGTCGGCGGAATGGCGTAAGCCTCTTGAATAATCAACATTCGGGGAACATAACAATGTTAATGAAACGCCGCCACGGGGATCCTGTGAGTTTGTATCTGTGGGCGAAACACCATGTCTTCGGACAAACGCACAAAGGTAACACGATGATATGCTCCGGCGACGTGTGACTGATGCCTTTCTTCCCTCCGAACCGTCGATTTGCT